AAGTTTATCTAACTAGAGTCATGCTCCCGTGGTTACAGCTAGAGATTGAAACAAGAACATTGTCAGTAATTCAGAGGTTAATAATACATATATAACTGAATTAAAATACAACAATCGTACAAACTAATATAAGCGATCTTATACAACATCAACTTAACCTAATAAGTTTTCATTGATAGACAGAGAAAGCTTTTTTTTAATGATTTTTTTTTTAATTTTTTTGTACTTCCAACAGCGTCGGTGCTCTGCTCAAAGATGACCTAAAATTTAGTTTTTTTCGTTGAGTAATACGTAATATTGTTTGTAAAAAATATCTTAGTATTTAATACCTAGTATTTAAATGCCGATATTTTGTGGTCTGAAATTAGTGCTAAAGACTAGAGTTAGTTGGCTACACACGAGCCGTATACGCCGCTTCAAAGCAAGGCATGCATCTAAGTACTTTACTGGTGTTAAGGACCTCTTGTGAGTCCGCACGGGTAGGTACCACCGCCCTGCCTATTTCTGCCGTGAAGCAGTAATGCGTTTCAGTTTGAAGGGTGGGGCAGCCGTTGTAACTATACTTGAGATTACTGGTGGTAGGACCTTTTTTTTTTTTTTTTTTTATTGCCTTTGTAGGCAGACGGGCATACGGCCCACCTGATGGTGAGTGGTTACCGTCGCCCATGGACTTCAGCAATGCCAGGGGCAGAGCCAAGCCGCTGCCTACCGCTTAATACTCTCCACAAGCCTCGTTTGAAGAAGGACATGTCATAGCGCTCGGGAAACACCGTGGAAGGGAGCTCATTCCATAGCCGGATGGTACGTGGCAAAAAATATCTCTGGAAACGCACTGTGGATGACCGCAGTGGCTCCAGGTAGTATGGATGAACTCTACTCCGGTGGCGGGCGGTGCGATGGTAAAAACGAGATGCTGGTATCATCTCGAACAATTCCTCAGAGCACTCCCCATGGAACATACGGTATAAAATACAGAGGGAACCGAAGTCCCTCCGCAGACCACCTCTCGTGAGTCCGCGTAGGTAGGTATCATCAACCTGCCTATTTCTGCCGTGAAGCAGTAATGCGTTTCGGTTTAAAGGGCGGGGCAGCCGTTGTAACTATACTTGAGATTACTGGTGGTAGGAGCTCGAGTCCGTGCGGGTAGGTATCATCAACCTGCCTATTTCTGCCGTGAAGCAGTAATGCGTTTCGGTTTGAAGGGTGGGGCAGCCGTTGTAGATGTCTATGGGCTCCAGTAACCACACCAGGTGGACTGTGAGCTCGTCCACCCATCTAAGCAATAAAAAAAGCAGACACTAATTGCTTTAATCTAAGCACAATTGTTTACAAACCAGACGACTTGTAGCGATGGCTTCTATCTCTATATTCAAAGTGCTCATATATCGACGTACATGGACCGTGTGTGGCTAATTAAGAAAATACTCTTTTTAATTCGAATTCGTCATATATTAGTTGATATATTTGTTGTTGATATTACAAGTACCCTAAATCCGGATTTTGTACTTGTGATCCGAAAGAAACTATTCTTAGGCGATCAGTAATGTAGACTAGGTGATATTTAATGATATTTTCATGATCCTAGTATTGTAAAAATATTATGCTCTCGTGTCTATCAATGATTATTCTAATAAGCGTTGACACTCACCAAGACGAACCGGAACATATCGATGTGACGACTGAGCTCAAATTTCCGGGCTTCTACTGTTTATGGTCAAATCAAGGCTAAGTTTTAATGCACCTATTGAGTTGTTTATGGTTTCTAGAATACTCATTAGTAGATATTATGTTTCGGTTCGAGTCAACAAGTGTTTTAATCTACGTTCATAAGGCGACTAAAGTGACTTTTTAAAAATTAAGTATTACTGGTGGCCCTGAGGTCTTTCCAGTTTCACCAGGACAGGTGGGCGAGCAAAGGCTCAGCCAAGAGGGGTGGGATTTGCTAACAGCCACCCGAGCGCCTCCAAAGGAGACCTAACAACTCAAGGGCAACTGCTTCGCGCATGAATCTAAAGTGACTCGTAGAAAAACTGTAACAGCAATTACACTTTGGCATATTGCAAGACCGCGCGACCATCATTACTCGCCTTACGAACGTAATATTAAGCGTGGAATTTTTCCTACTAAATATTATATTATACCTTATTATTAGTAGATAATTAGTCTATAAACAAACACATTCTCGTGTACATAATCAAAACGATTACGACAATAGGACCCGACAAATATGCCAACAATCGTGTCAGCCAGCACATTGGCCCAATATTGGCTGGTCATTTCGTGGACAATAATAACCGACCACTGCTCTGTTAAGAGCTTAAAAATACCGCGTCACATAGCGGTCACTCCTAAAAACTCCACTCACATTCCTAATACGTTGACCGCCAAGTCAATGCCTTGGCAAAACTGTTTAAATCCAATTAGTTTCACCATCAAATAGCATTCACAACCACCATATACAATCAGGAAGCTACCTTGAAACTTCCTTTTCTTCCAAGTTATTGACAACGTCAATATATAATAACTACTTACAGAATGTTCCAGAGACTCTTCATTTTATTCTTTCAGTGTGCTTAGTGTGAGTTTTTTAACGTTCTCGTAACTCAAATTTGTATGCAGTTGGAACAGCGCCCCTAGCGGCAAACGTAGGGAAACATTCCAAATCCATACAAATATGAGTTAACTTTTACGCTATCGAGAACGTTAAAAAACTCGCACTAAGCGCACTGAAGTATTTCTTAAGACGGTACTAGGACCCGGTCATGCTGTAGCGATCCCGTGAATGATAAACCGGTCACTTCCGGGCCACGACCTCAAAACGTCCGTCAAAAGTCAAACTCAAGGAGCACGGAACACAAGATATGGCACTGGCCGTAAATTAGGCCGTATATAAAATATACATACATTATGTACACAATTTATATATATATATATATAAATAAATAAATAGGTCACAACTCATTGTTCGAACAGCTGTCTGTATTCAATAGTTGAACAAGACTTCATTTTTTATAGGATTAAATCAGCAGTCCATTTAGCGCAATGCTCCTTAAAATAAATTTTATTGATTTAATTTCATTGTCTCTTAATAACTTCAATACACAGTGTATTTAGATGATAGCCCTTATTGAATACAAACAGCTTTATTTAAAGTTAAATTTACACTTATTAATATATAACACGCATATATATATATATATATATTTCAATATGAAATAATTAAGCGTACAACACAGTCTTTTCGATAGCCGATGTTAATATTAAATCCGGTATCGTTAAGTGAGCGTTTCGCTTAATATCTTGACTGCATTTAAAATTCGAATGCTCAACGTATACCTAATACACTGACTTAAAAACTAATTTTTTTTTTGTGCGTGGCAACCCCGAGTATTGATTAGTTTACTATATTCGAAAACGGAATCAATACCTACGGACAATTGTTTTTTTTTTTTGTTTAATTTTCACTAACACGTAGAACGCATTTGAATAATTCTTACGTCAATATTTAGTGTACATACTACACATACCATGTTGAATCGAAGCTAGTGATGTGCATTGACGAAATTTAGGGTTTTCGATCCGTGACTAATGAATTAAAGACTCTTTAGTTTTAGTATGGTAATCGACTTAATCTTTTTTTTATCGTTTCGATCTTACACTGCGATCAGAGGATTATGAACCGTATTTTCGATACGAATAGAGTCGACCACGGTATCGATGTTTTTGGGTGTTACCACTTTTTTTTTATTTTTACCTTTTTTTCTTAAAACGAACGCTATATGTACATAATAATATATCGGTTATATACCTAATGAATACAGACTATATACATACTGCCTACTGTTTAAAATCGTTATTTTTTTATGTCGTAATTTCGACGAATACGTTTGGCACTTGTTTTCCAAAGCACGGCGACAAGACTTTCAAGTTCTCACGTATGGACGTCATTTAGAAATTTAAGCTCCGAGCTTTTTTTACTAGTACTTTTACTAGTTCATTCAATAGTGACGTCATCGTGTGTTAAAAATAAGGTGGGTAGCACACGTCCTGCTTTTTTAACCACAGTGCTATCAGTGATATTGAAGAAAATCATTGTCGCCGCGCGTATAGTTAGCTTTAACATTCGAATTTCGAAACAAGTATTTAATTACTAAAAGAAAAGAAAAGGTACAAAAATTATTTTTGAAATAATTAACATAAAAAAAACAACAACACTACTTTCGATTATCAATAAAAAAATCCTAAAAATTAAATAACATTTACTTAGTTACCGTTTTTTTTTTACTTTTCTACCAAAAGAATTTTAACATCTGGCAATACTTTACTTTTTTTTTTCAACCCTCATAAGCCCTTATCCTCTACGTTTATCACTCGTTTTGTTTTTATTTTAGTCTCCCTAGACGTTAACAGCATCCCTGTAACTCCATAAATAAATAAAAAATACAATTAAGAAAGTTAAAGCCGAGAAAAGACACTGTTGTTTTAATACATATATATAAATATATACATATTAACTACTTTTGCTTTTCCATTTTCGTTTTTTTTCGTTAGTTTAGAAAGACCGTGCTTTCGGAGCTGGTAAAATTTAGAAAAAGTTTTAAATGTATTTAGTACTTTCGCTTTAGATACCAAGGATTTCATTTTAAGTGAAATATCTAAGTTATTTAGTAATTGTATTGTTGTCGCTCGATTTTTTTACGTATTTATACTGAAGTATGATCAATTTCATTAAAAACAATACAGAAATCGTAAAGTTAGTTTTTTTTTACTTCTTAATATTGAAATATATTTAGATAAGGTATTGAAAAATAATATACTTACAAGATCTTTTTCTTTTATGTAAACTTTTATGTAAATGTTTCTTTTCCGTATTTAAAAACATATAAAATGCTGCTTAATAAATAATTTTTGACTGTAGTTAATTTTTTCCTTAGGTTTTATTTTTCCTAAATTTTTCATTATTGATTTGAAAATTCGTAATTTTTTTTATGACGGTCGTTTCGAAACTAAACTATTCTATTTGGTAGGTTTTTTATTGAATCTTGAAGGATTAAAAGCGTTTTTATATCAGCCGACACGATATATCGGTTCCGATTGAGTAGCCGATATCAAGCCATAACAAAAAGTGTACAGCGGTTATTTGATGTTTTAATTTTTTAAATTCTCGTTTTAAATTGACGAAAAATAATAATCGCGTTAGAATCATTACGGTATCAAATGTTGGAATATGGTTCTAACGTCGTCATGTGTAAATGACGAAACCTACACTTGTTATGTCGACATATTATTATGTCAAAATTATCGTATCGAAGGAAGGACCCTTGTAAACAAGACTTAGATCACAAAAACAAAAGAGATATTTTATTATGAAGTTACAATCCAACTCATTTTTCAACCGTTCCTATTTTATTTTTTTATTTCACCCAGATCATGCCAGTAATTTATTGTAGCCAAGAATAAAGTAGTGCCAACATGACGATCGTATCAGTAAAACAGTAGTGCCAATATTATAGCTTACAAAATTAAGAACATTAATAATTATTAATTATCAACATCAATCGATCATATCTCCATGTTTTTATGACCTACAAATATTCATACTAATTTATAATAGACGGCAGATAATTCTAAACATTCAATAACCACTACATTAATCTTAATAATACGTTCGAAAAACTATATACATAAATATATATTTTTTTTCAATTTTTTTTTTTTCATTTTTTTTTTCTACTACAACATTCAATCGCACAGATAACTAAATTCGTACGTATAATTGCCAGCGTTCAAAACGAATCCCGAATTTAGTAGGTAATTGAACGATTTCACGTCTATCTCGATTGTCAACAGGACGAAGTTAAATTCGTAGGATTGCTGTCTTCCGACCACGGACCATCGCTTGGAGCGCAAACCCTTATTGTGCGCGGTCAAGGATCTTAGCAGACCGCACGCGCAATCCACATCCAAATTAACCATTTTATCGACATGTATTTTCAACGACATTTTTATATTATTATCAGTAGAGACGCGTTTCACGTCCGACACCGATATATCGTTCGCGTCACAGGCCTCCCTGAGCCAATAGTAGCCGTTTTCGCTGTGGCAACACAGAACCAAACCGCCGTTATAAATGCCGTGGCATTTCAGGCCTTGATCGTCCAAATCCGTAGGCCTCGAGGCAAGCACCGAATGTATTTTGAGCAGGAAACCGTTATCGAGGACCTCGTCCGGATGATTTTTCGGCAACAGCAACACTTTTTGGTAGTTTTTGCGTTTTTTCCCTTTGGGGCGGGACGGGCTCGGTGTTGCCGGATTCGGAGCTACGGCTACGGAAGCGGACGCATTCGCTTCGTACGAAGCGTCTTCCGCTGCATCAGGGTTCTCGGAGTCTCCCGCGTCCTCCTCGACACTGTCAGATTCGTCACGCTCTCCGAATATAGGATCGTAGGCAATAGCGTGATTCCTGTATATTGCCTTGTTATCCTTCTTGAGTTCACAAAGACGTTTCTCGTTGGCATTGAATAAGGTCCTGTTTATCTTGCGCAGGACAACGGTGCTGTACGAATAAAATAACGTGGACATCAGATTTAATCTTATAAAAAAATAAAAAATAAATCTAGTCGTTATCATATCCGAAATCTGAGTGAAAACGGGACTTTAAAACTTTTGTGACGTCACGGCTAATGTAACGCGTGCGAGCGAAAGAGATAGGCAGATGTTCCAAATTCAAATCCTCAATTTTAAAAGTACCAGCCAATTATAAAGGTGATACCAGTTTGCAAAGAGATATTCTTATTAATGGCAACATCTATTATTACAGATAAACTATCCACAAAATTAACTAGTGCTTAGAAAGATATTTTATTTAATTTTAATTTTATCTATTAATCTTGCCTATTTAGCTGCAAAGGATCCGTGCGTACTGAAGGTCGATGCACCGTCTCAGCGCCGAAAACATTGATGTCCATGGACATCACTAACGATGTAACACCTTTACACAAAACTTAAGTTGATATAACAAAAAACACTCACTAGTCATTGTCGGCAAAGGCGGCATCTAAATACAGCTTCCCAACGCACTCCTGCGTCACGGTATACACGAGCCGCAGGAAGGAATCCTTCAAGGACCCGCTTCGTTTGTTCAACTGTAGCACGGCTTGACTCACAAACGCTCTCTCGGACCGAGTCAAAGTCGATTCGAAGTTTAAAGAGCGCTCGATAACGGAACTCCTCGCGAACTGCATTATTTGTACCAAAATGGTAGTTTTGAATGATAGCTCGTTTATCGTTTTCTTCGGGTAGAAACTCGGACCGTACGGCAGGATCAGTCTATCCAAGATCTTCTTGTAAACATCGCTGGTAACGCGCGAGTCGGTTTGCTCGCCCGATATTATGGTATCGGCGATGTCCTTTATCATAGATTTACTTATTTTCTCGTCGTAGGAATGTGTTTTAGTGATCTTTTTAATTTTGAGTTGCCTGTAAAGGAAGCAAAAAAACTTCCATTAATCTATATACATAAAAATGAATTGCTTTTCGTTAGTCTCGCTAAAACTCGAGAACGGCTGGACGGATTTGGCTAATAAAATTTTGGTCTTGAATTATTTATGGAAGTCCAGAGAAAGTTTAAAAGGTAGATAAATATGAAAATGCTTGGAATTAAATAAAAATAACAAATTTTGTTTTCCATAAGATGTGTCCCCCGTCGGAGGGATTCCTTTTGTTTGTCTTAAGTTTATTTTATACAAAAGTATAGGTTTTTTATTTATCGATTGAGGCACACATCTATTCCTGGCAACCCTGTATAATAGATAATCTGTACCGAACGAATTCTACGAGTTAACAGGATTTTTGGCGGGAACGCGAGGAGTGAAGTTGTGTGATTTGTTTTATTTTATCTATTTAGTGTTTCTTCAGGTTTAAATGTGTAATAATGGTGGTTTATTAACTGTTTAATATCTGTGAAAGTGCGCAAATGTGGGAAAATGAAACAAAGCCGCTGGACGTCACTTCTCGGGATCCTCCAAAAAGTCCAATGAAAAAGTCTCAGTAAATGACCACCATTTTACTGAGATTATATTTCATCCCATATCATCTCATCTCATTTCATTGAATTTCACTTCATATTATCATTTTTCATAACAACAAAAAGATAAATTAAAATAAGACATGACTTAAGTCTTAGTTACCAGGTCATAAAATCCTAGAAAAAAAAAACCAGTTAACATCACATTATGCACTCACTTTCTGTCTTTAGAGACGAAAGCCACAAACCGCACGCAGGGCACACCGACCAACTGATCGAGGATCTTCAACATCAGACCCGTCTCCTCTGGCTGCGACAGATTGAACTTGACCCTGTTATTGACAGCTGTCAGGGCGTGATCGATGAAGCTCATCTCCTTCTTCTTCAGCTGCCTCTTGTAGTGAGCTTTCGTTTCGTCCAAATTGTTAATCAGGAGGTGCAGGATTAGGTTTAGCTGGTCCTGTCTGAAGGCGGACTTTGTCGCGGGTTCGGGTCGAGATGTGGACGGCGTATGCCCTAAGCCGGTGCCTGATGCCTGGAATACGTGAATCTATATATTGATACGTGAAACCAAAACTTTGTAGCCCTTTTTACGAAAATTGCGCGGACGGTGGATTATATGTCTTTTTTTATTGCTTAGATGGGCGGACGAACACAGACATCTACAACGTAAATGCGCCACCCACCTTGCGATATAAGTTCTAAGTCTCAGTTTTTACAGTATAACGGCTGCCCCGCCCTTCAAACTGAAAAACGCATTACTGCTTCACGGCAGAAATAGCCAGGGTGGTGGTACCTACCATTGTGATTGCGACTTGGACACGGCAGAGCATACGCTCGTCGCCTGCCCCGCATGGGAGGGGTGGCGCCGTGTCCTCGTCGCAAAAATAGGAAACGACTTGTCGTTGCCGAGTGTTGTGGCATCGATGCTCGGCGACGACGAGTCGTGGAAGGCGATGCTTGACTTCTGCGAGTGCACCATCTCGCAGAAGGAGGCGGCGGGGCGCGTTAGAGACGCGCAAGCCCGCCGCCGTCGAGCGGGGGCCAGGGAGGCGGATCTCGCCCAAGCCCTGGCCCTCTAAGTGTTTCGGGTCCCCCTCATATGCCGGCTGGGGACCGGCGAGGGGGACCTAAGAAGACGTCGTGCAAGCTGCTCTGCACGCGTTTTACGCAAGAGCATCCGGGTGATGGAAGGCCGGCTATCCTCGACCCACGCTGGTTCTGACCCAGCGGGGTATTCCGTAGGATAGCTCACTCTAACCGGCGCCATCTAGGCGGGCTCCGGATAGCCTGCCGACCGAGAGGGCTGGTGGTCGTGGCGCCGACGACCGCCAGTCCGGCGTCCCGAGGGGGAGGGTGATGGGAGAGATGTGCTCCGCACTAAACACTTCACTTTCCCCCCTTTGCCTTTTCATGAGTTCTGTCTCATGTGAGGTTTGGACGTTGGTTGTTGAGCGACAGGAGGTTTTAGTCGGTTCGACTCCGACATGCTCCGCCCGCCGTCCCCAGTGGAGGGCGGAAGTCCGGCGATTTCCTCCTGACCAAAAAAAAAAAAAAGGGTGGTGGTACCTACCCGTGCGGACTCACAAGAAGTCCTATCACCAGTAAATTTCCCACACTTATAAGAGAATATAGAGAAGGAGTGCAGAATGTTAATATATTTTTTAATCTATATATATAAAAATGAATTGCTGTTCGTTAGTCTCGCTAAAACTCGAAAACAGCCTGACCGATTTGGTTAATTTTGGTCTTCAATTATTTGTGGAAGTCCAGAGAAAGTTTAATATGAATATGCTCAGAATAAAAAAAAAACAGACGGATTCCTTTTGTTTGTTTTAAGTTTATTATATACAAAAGTTTAGGTCTTTTATTTATCGATTGAGGCACTACGAAGTCTGCCGGGTCAGCTAGTTTTGCATAGAAAATACATTTAATCAATAAAAAAAGACATTACACACACTATCATGTATTTGACACAACACCTATACTCTTTGTTGATTGTCAAACTTTTGTTATTGTATAAAATCTGTGGCCAAATTGAGAATAAATTAATATTGTTTTGTATTTAATATTATTTGTCTATACCGTAGTCTAGGCGAAATCTGTGATTATAGAAGTCTTTGACAATAGAACCGTAATAATGTTCAAACTTATAGTTTCAATTAATTATAGTCGAATTTCGAATACTGAGGGACCACTAGTACATTAAAAATTTAAAAAGTTTGTTGAAAGTTTTTTTTTTAAATGGCAACATTCGCATATTTGACGTTCATTGCAGGGCCGGCGCTGAAATTCCCGGATGGGGGGCAATTTACTGTCTACGGAATGCTGATGAGATCTTTTTGCCATTGTTGCAATCGAGTCTGTGGCCCATCCCATATAAGGTCAAGGTACTAGAGTGAAGCGTCCTCGTCGAACCCGTCGCTTGCGACGAAGGGCTCGACGAGTAAATTAACCCATAGACACAGATCAGTTTCTCGTCGGATCTCCTCAGTGGGTCGCGTTTCCAATCCGGTGGTAGATTCTGCGAAGCACTGCTCTGTCTGGGGTCAGTGTTAGCAACACTCGGTTTGAGCCCCGTGAGCTCACCTACACGTCAAGAAGAAGCTGAAATAGCCTCTCAAGGCTTTTAGAATAGGTAGGAAAAAAATTGGTGAAACAAAATGACAAATAAATCGATGATGTCCTATCAGGTGTGTTGCGAGGGTTATGGTGCACTCACCATTCTGAGCTGAGGTACCAACGGCTCTGTTATCCCATTGCCTCTCGCTCCCAGGGCTCCACCATTCCATCCCATATTTTCCATCATCCTAAAATAGATAACTGTTTAGTATCTGTGAAAGTGCACAAATGTGGGAAAATAAATCAAAGCCGTTTCTCGTGATCCCCCCAAAAAGTCCACTGAAAAAAATCTCAGTAAATGACCATCATTTTACTGAGATTATATTTCATCCCATATTATCTAATCTCATTTCATTTAATTTCACCCCAGTTGATTAATATCTCAAATTCTTCATTTCATTTCACTCCATATTATCATTTTTCATAATAATATCCCATATCATATCATCTCATCTCATTTCAATTCATTTCATAATATCATATTTTATAAAAAATATATATATAAAAGATTAGGCTGTATGGTGTGATACCTTTGCCTTTCCATTTGGAAAAATAAAACTACTACAACTACTACTAAAATAGATAATACGTTTACTGGCTTCTACATTATAAGTAAATGAGTTTTTTTTAAATGATTGAAAGATTACTGGTGGCCCGGAGGCCTTTCCAGTTTCACCAGGACAGGTGGGCGAGCAAAGGCTCAGCCAGGAGGGGTGGGATTTGCTGACAGAAGTAATGAGTATAAAAAGCCCGCGGCAATGAAAGCAATATAATTTTGCATAAGATTAAAATTAAGGGGGAGGATTATATTAATACTCTTATTATTATTAAAGTGCATTTTTTTTTTCAATATAACAAGCAATGGTAAGCAAAATTAGGAGTGAGGTGAACAACCTTGTTTAAGCCGAGCAGCAATGGAAACGCATTTTTTTCGGGACAATTACTTACTTCAAAGCCTTATTGCACTTTACCGGGACGGACATGTCGTTTAGTAATTTTATCTGCCACCTGCCCAGCCGATATTTCGGCTTGACTGGTTTACTGTCACCGATACTGTGAGTGTCCGACCTGTTCGAGCCGAGTTTGAAATCGATTCGTTTTAAAGGCAATAAAAGCTCCGACGCTGTCTGGGGGGTACTGAAAAATTAAACAAAAAGAAAAATAAAAAAATGGATGGTGTCATGCAAGAGGTAACCAAAAATAATAATACAAAAGGAATTAATTCGTGCTTTTCTACTATCTAGACTAATTTTTATTGTACGTGAGTTCATACCCGGACGTGCCCGGCTCTCCCTCAGCTCTACTCCCGGTATCCATTTCGCAACTGTTAGACGACGAATCTGAGACCCTAAAAATTATTACAAGTGCCATAACTGAAATACACTTTCTTTTCTACCTATGCTCATAGCCTTGAGAGGCTATTTGAGATTCTCCTTGACGTGTAGGTGAGCTCACGGGGCTCAAACCGGAGTGTTGCTAACACTGGCCCTAGCAAGAGCAGTGCTTCGCAGAATCTACCACCGTATCGGGCACGCGACCCAGTGAGAAGATCCGGCGAGAAACTCAGTGGGTTAATTTACCCGCCGAGCCCTTCGTCGCAAGCGACGGGTTCGACGAGGACGGTGACCGGTGCTTGAGGTACTTAAAAGCACCGTTAATGGATCAGAAGGATCCGTAATGACGTGGACTGTTTGATGGCGAATGGTCACCATCGCCCATGGACGTCAGCAGTGCTAAGGGCAAAGCCAAGCCGCTGCTTACCGTTACCCTCCAACCAGCGTTAATTATTTTAATTTTACTAATAGTACGTAGCAGATTGTATAAAGTAGTCCCTAATAATTACTTCAAGCGAATAAAACGCTAACACAAATACATTGTAATGAATCATACTTACTCGGCTTCAGCATTTCGTTTTCCAGCCCTGGGTATCTTCTCTAAAACAGCGCAACTGAAATATTTAAATAGATTTAAACAAAGAATTATTATTATTTTGTATAATACAAGGAAGGGGATTAATTGAAAATTACATATTTTTTTTTCGATATATTAACGCTTGGGTCGATCGTGCCTCTCTATCGCTTGTTTCGCGCTCTCGCTTGCACGCTCAGGTTCAGGCGGAACGTGACACTTTTTCGTGCGTGCAGCCGGTGTCAATAAAGTATGGATTTGTGTATAATATATGAGTCGACTATTATCAAAGGCGGCAATCTGACTTTTGGACAATGATTGGTAAATCAGAAAAACGAATTATTGACTTTGTATTCCATTGGCAGTCACAAAACTCTTCGGAACGACATCTTAGATAAATAACAGGTTAACTATTAACCTTTATTTAATGCAGGTTTTGAACCGTATTCTTTGAAGGAGACGATTNTTTGTATTCCATTGGCAGTCACAAAACTCTTCGGAACGACATCTTAGATAAATAACAGGTTAACTATTAACCTTTATTTAATGCAGGTTTTGAACCGTATTCTTTGAAGGAGACGATTATATTCAAATAAATCTGTATTGACATATCAATAATTTTTTTTTGTCCAAATGTACAGATTGCCGCCTTTGATAATAGACGACTCATATGTGCTATTGTTGTGTTTTGTTGCTATTTAACAACTTTAATTTAATAATGGCCGTTTTTTTTTCTCTGTTCACTTTTTAATAGTGTTAATGACGGAAAGATGTTTGGTTTTTGTTCACCTATCTTTAATATACGATATAGTTTTTTTTTTACAGCTTAGGATTGTGGAGGAGCTCACGGCCCACCTGGTATTAGGTGGTTACAGGAGCCCATAGACACATACAACGTAAATGACATCACCCACCTTGAGATATGAGTTCTAAGGTCTCAATATAGTTACAACGGCTGCCCCACCCTTCAAATCGGACCGCATAACTACCTCACGGCAGAAATAAGCAGAGTGGTGGTACCTACTCATGCGGACTCACAAGAGATTCTGCCACCAGTAAAAGTGCTTGAAACATGAGGTCCATATTATGTAGTATAACGGTTGCGTTTTGTATTATTAGATTTCCCAAATAAACTCAATAACAAAGGTAAGGAACTAAGCAGATACGGTCTGGTATCATAGAAACCATTTTTTTTTTACCTAAGCTGATAGCCTTGAGAGGCTATTTCAGCGTAACCTTAACTAGTAGGTGAGCTCACAGGGCTCAAGCCTGACGACGTTGCTAACACGAATCCTAGCAAGAGCAGTGCTTCGCAGAATCTACCACCGGATCGGAAACGCGACCCACTGAGAAGATCCGAGAGAATTTACTCGTCGAGCCCTTCGTCGCAAGCGACGGGTACGACGAAAACAATGACCGGCGCTTGAGGTACCTAAAAGCACCGTTATTGGATCGGGACGATCCGAAATGACGTGTTGAAAACCACCTAACCTTGTTTCGTCTTCATTGGTGGCAACAGTGAGGTTGTAGTCGTGATCCTGGACACAAGTCTCCAATACCCGCTGAAAGGTCACACAGAGGTCGTCGGTCCGATCCATATTACACGACGACAGTAACTTGCATATGTAATTGACTCGTTCGCTCGTCAAACGAGGGTACTCTAAAATTAGTCGGGTCTCGTCGTTCATAAAGTCCAAGATCGTTTCGCGGTAGTGGCGTGACGGCAATGCTCCGATGGTGCCAGCTGTTAGTTCTGTATTTCGTAGCTCTGTAATTGATCAGAATTAATGAGACGTTTTAATTGTTCTAATGCGAGCACACGAAAAGGCGAATGGAAAGACGACGATAGTCTGCTTTTGTGGATGGATGGGTGTGTGGTGGATTTACCATCGATCTATTACCACCACCACCACCATTATTGGTAATAGATCGATGAGATTTACACCAAGTCTACGGGCACGAAACTTGCGATGGCTGAGCGATGGCGGGGCCGCGCGACGGCGATGTATACAAAAGCATTGTACAGTATAGCGACGGGCACGAAACGGGTGATCGAGCGATGCACGGGCGGCAGTGGAGCGACGGCGACGCGGAAGCGACGAGAACAAACTATATAGTTTGGTTTCGTCGCTTGCGCGGGTACACAGTGTTGTATTGAATTATTATTTTAATAATGGAAATTGATAATGAGGAATTTCGCCACCGCCGCCGCTCCGCCATCGCCGGGTCCGCTAGTTTAAACATAAATTAAAGTTTCAGCAATAAATTAGTAATTTTAATTTTGGAAAACAAATTATATAATCTATTAGATTAAGTAAAATTCCAGTATTGGGCGGATTTTTTTTCGGTGCCCGTTAGGAGCTTTAAGTTTATATCCGGAATTAAACAATCCCTCACACCGTCCTCAGTGCTACGGAGTAGATATTGATAATGTGAATACTGCTCCCCGCCTTTTTTTTAATGCACATATGGGTGGACGAGCTCCCAGCCCGCCTGGTGTTAAGTGGTTACCGGAGCCCATAGACATCTACAATGTAAATGCCGCCACCCACCTAGAGACAGTTCTAAGTCAACTTTTTACAATATAACGGCTGCCCCGCCCTTCAAACCGAAACGCATTACTTCTTCACGGCAGAAGTAGGCAGGGTGGTACCTACCCGTGCGGACTCACAAGACGTCCTACCACCAGTAATCACGCAAAATAAAATAAAAGCGTGGATCATTTGCAGGAAAGCATTTGATGGTGACGACGGCCGATGAGGATTTAAGTGGTCATCATCTACAGGGACAGACTAGTGCCGTGTCAAATATCCGTCATTTAAACAGAATCCCACATAGTGAGGGGCTTTAAAATATTACGTAATAGCTGGCCCGGCAAACTTCGCAGTGCCTCAATCGATAAATAAAAGACCTAAACTTTTCTATAAAATAAACTTAAAACAAACAAAAGAATCCCTCCGACTGTGTCCCCCACATCAAATTATCTACCTTTTAAACCTTCTCTGGATTTCCACAAATAATTCAAGACCAAAATTAGCCAAATCAGTCCAGCCGTTTTCGAGTTTTAGCGAGACTAACGAACAGCAATTCATTTTTATATATATAGATAGATATTAGCTCACAAACATTTCCTTCGATCCCTGCATTCTATAAATAAATTAAGCTATGATAAACGCATCAGTGCTTCCTCGTCGGGCGGAACCACCCGGCGACCTTATTCGCGGTCAAGTTTCAGCCCGGGCGGATCGATAATGCATCCCGGGGCATATCAAATTACGCGGCACGCAAATAATGGCGGCGCATCCCACTACAGGGCAACTTCAAACCTACCTACCCCTTTGATCTGGGAGGGGCAGACCTGTCCCGACCTAGTTCGAGGTACCTACAGCTATCTAGACTGCGATCAATAACGCGGTTGCAGCGAGAATTCTAGGAAAATAGGAAGATATACGGCTGCGTGGAGTGCTGGGCGTTGGCTGCAATTCAAAATGGCGGTGTTCACTGTTGTTTAAGGTCTTATGCGTTTTTTTTTATTGCTTGGTGTTAAGTGGTTACTGGGCCCATAGACATCTATAACGTAAATACGCCACCCACCTTGAGATATAAGTTCTAAGGTCTCAAGTATAGTTACAACGGTTGCCCCACCCTTCAAACCTCACAAGAGGTCCTANAGTGCTGGGCGTTGGCTGCAATTCAAAATGGCGGTGTTCACTGTTGTTTAAGGTCTTATGCGTTTTTTTTTATTGCTTGGTGTTAAGTGGTTACTGGGCCCATAGACATCTATAACGTAAATACGCCACCCACCTTGAGATATAAGTTCTAAGGTCTCAAGTATAGTTACAACGGTTGCCCCACCCTTCAAACCTCACAAGAGGTCCTACGACCGGTAATTACGCAAATTATAATTTTGCGTGTTTCATTTTTATTACACGATGTTATTCCTTCACCGTGGAAGTCAATCGTGAGCATTTGTCAAGTACGTATTTCATTAGAAAAATTGGTACCCGCCGGCGGGATTCGAACACCGTTGCATCGCTAGATACGAATGCACCGGATGTCTTATCCTTTAGGCCACGACGACTTCAAGTATAAAACTCAATTATTTTAATTTTTTTTTATTTTATTCTAAAGATGCGTAGATATTATTACATAGATTAAACTCCTTTTTTTTAACGTGACTGATGGGTAGCGAAACAGCTTAATTAACGTTAAAACGCCCAATCCAAAGCCTTTTCAACTCAGCAGTTTTTATACTCAAGAAAACTCATTAAAATCAACGTAAAAGATAAAACTCTCTCATTGCACTCGTATCGAGCGATGCTATTGAGCCGGTGTTCGAATCCTGACAAATCGACGAGCGACATTCCGCTTAATACGCGACATCTATATATTAATACGTGAAGCAAAAACTTAGTATCCCTTTTTACGAAAATTGCGCGGAAGGAGGAGTATGAAATTTTGCACACTTATAGAGAATATAAAGAAGTGCATAACGCAATTTTTTTTTTTTAAATAATGCATAAATGATACATTAAATCAATAAAGAAAACATTACACACACTACATACCATGTATTTGACGCACACACGCACGCATACTATTTATTGTCAAACTTTTGTTCTTGACGTCTGTTGTCGAATTGAGAATAGATTAAATATTGTTTGTCTTTGTTAATATTTTTTATAGTGTAGTCTTGGCGAAATTTGTGATTATCGAAGTATAAAATACAATCAAAATAGTGTACAAACTTACAATTCCAATGAATTATAGTCGAATTTCGACTACTGCGGGACTACTAGTTTAACTAAAGATACATTTTATTTGGCTATAGCATAAACAATACGATGTTTTTAATTGAACTTCAATTAAGTTTACCCCATTCAAATAGCTGAAGTTTTTTTTTTTTTGTTATGATATTTTTTACAACTTTTTAATATTAAATGGTTCTCTTGTAAAGTTGCAAAGATATCGCTTAAGCCAAATAAACTATCACCCTTTTGGAATGTTCACGAATGACTTTCACGATGAAGGAATAACATTATGTAATTAAATTAAAGTCGCAAAAATCATAATTTTATTAATCACTAGCTGATCCGGCAGACTTCGTAGTGCCTCAATCGATAAATAAAAGACACATCAAGTGGACACATCAAAGGAAAAACAAAATTGTTTGTTTTTTTATATAATTCCGAGCTTTTTTATATTTTCTCACGGGTTACAAGGTTGTAATACTTATACATATAAAGTTATTATTCTTAATGACTTTTCTTGGTGGTGACGCTTTAAAAAACTCAATGTAATTCACACCAGGTAAGTTATCAGTTAATCTCTTTATTTTCACGCCAATTCGATCTAAATATCCAATTATTATTATGTATAAGTCATAAGCATCAACCTGAACCCACTCTGAACAAATATTAATATATTTTATTATGTACTAGCTGACCCGGCAGACTTCGTGGTGCCTCAATCGGTAAATAAAAGACCTAAACTTTTGTATAATTTTTTTTAAAACAAAAGGAATCCGTCCGACTGGGGACACTTCAAAGGAAAAACAGAAATCGTTATTTTTATTTAATTCCCAGCATTTTCATATTTATCTACCTTTTAAACCTTCCCTGGACTTCCCACGAATAATTCAAGACCAAAATTAGCAAAATCGGTCCAGCCGTTCTCGAGTTTTAGCGAGACTAACGAACAGCAATTAATTGTTATATATAGAGATTAAGATTATAACTTTAATCCCGCTCGGGTAGGTACCACCACCCTGTATATTTCGGCTGCGGAGCGGTTATGCGTTCCGCTTTCAAGGGTGGGGCAGCCGTTGCGTTATATTAAAGTATACTATTAAGATTTAGACCTCATGCCGTACGGGTAGTACGGTGACATTACGATATCTAGGCACTCCGGTAACCACTTAACGCAACGTGAACCGGCAGTCAATTCACCCAATAACGCACGAATGTTTTTTAAACGACAAAAATAATTAAACTTTGGACTATCCACTACGACTTCCCGTTTATAACATACTTTTTTTTTTTCCTTCCTAATCTGGTAGCCTGGAGCGGCTATTCCAGCGTAACCGTAACTAGTAGGTGAGCTCACGGGGCTCAAACCTGACGACGATGCTAACACGAACCCTAGCAAGAGTCGTGCTTCGCAGAATCTACCACCGGATCGGAATCGCAACCCACTGAGAAGATCCGGCGAGAAACTCAGTGGGCTGTGTCTGAGAGTTAATTTACTCGTCGAGCCCTTCGTCGCAAGCGACGGGTTCGACGAGAACGGTGACCGGATAACGTACTAGCGACCCGCCCTCGCTTCGCTTCGGAAACTGTAATTTATTATTGATTTCTCCACTATTTAATGGATGTTATTATACATGATACTAGTGGTCGCCCGATAGTCGAAATTCGACTATAATTAATTGAAATTATAACTTTGTACACTATTATGATTCTATTTCCAAACTATACTTCATACTATACTTCTATAATCACAGATTTCGCCAAGACTACACTATCGAAAAACATTAATAAAGACAAACAATATTTAATCTATTCTCAATTTGACCACAGACGTCAAGAACAAAAGTTTGACAATAAATAAATAGTATGCATGCGTGTGTGCGTCAAATACATGGTAGTGTGTGTAATGTTTTTTATATTGATTTAATGTATCTTTTATGCATTATTTTAAAAAAAAATTAGCATTGTGCACTTCTTCTCTATATTCTCTGTAAGTATGGAAAATTTCATACTCCTCCGTCCGCGCAATTTTCGTAAAAAGGGAAAGTTTTTGCTTCTCGTATTAATATATAGATACGTTTTTTCATATACATGTAGTTTTGAGGCTTACCTACACCCATTTTTTAGTAATTCCTGTAATTTCCAATTGTTAATTAACACTAAAATATATCTCAAAAGTTAATATTTTAAATTTTACACTGCTTTAGAAAATAATCAGTTTTTTTTTTTCATTTCCTGAACATTTTATTTTTTTCAGAGATGTGCCCTTTTCGAAATTGCATATTCAATTAAACTTTGGACTACCCACTACGACTTCCCGTTTATAACATACTAGCGGCCCGCTCCGGGTCAGCTCGGGACTTTAACAAAAACTCAACGATATTTGACGTTGTTTTGTTTTTTAAAATAAAAAAAATCACTTATTAGAATAGTTGACATAATATGCTGTCGCGACACTTTTTGTAAATAATAATGTGTTCTACAAAGTCATAGTACATTATTATATTCTATCATCAATAATTTTCGCAGGGCACGCGATGTAAAGAATATTTTAGGTAATTTTTTTACACTGTGGGTTACATTATTGGAGTTTTAGTAAGGATCCCTAATTTTTTTCAAAAAAGATTATAGCCCATGTCACTCGGGAATAGTGTAGCTTTCAAACAGTAAAAGAATTTTTCAAATCGGTTCAGTAATTTCAGAGCCTATTCAATACAAACAAACAAACAAATCTTTCATCTTTATAATGTTAAGTATAGATAAGTATAGATATAGAAGTATAGATTTACATAGCATTCGCATAGTAATGAAAACGCATCGCATCGCATCCGTCACTCGCCTGGGACAACAAGTAGCCGTCGGGTTTGCTATAGACACGGACAGAGCGGTGATACAAGGGTCGTGAATCAATATCGGTTGTCGCCCCCCGAGGAGGTGCATCAAACACACCTGACACGCATGCGCGGAGCACCCATCATCCCACGTGATTCAATTAACTCTGTGTCAGTATTAAATATCATAGCTAGACANCATCGCATCCGTCACTCGCCTGGGACAACAAGTAGCCGTCGGGTTTGCTATAGACACGGACAGAGCGGTGATACAAGGGTCGTGAATCAATATCGGTTGTCGCCCCCCGAGGAGGTGCATCAAACACACCTGACACGCATGCGCGGAGCACCCATCATCCCACGTGATTCAATTAACTCTGTGTCAGTATTAAATATCATAGCTAGACAGACACATACACACACATACGAATTATATACCGTCGTTGTCAAACCAAAACCTGCTATGTCGAAAAACTCTATTATGAATTAACGAGTAAAAACATCACTACATAGTATAAATCAAAGTCGCTCTCACTGTCCCTATGTATGCTTATATCTTTAAAACTACGCAACGGATCTTGATGCGGCTTTTTTTAATAGATAGAGTGATTGAAGAGGAAGGTTTATATGTATAATAACATCCATTAAATAGTGGAGAAATCAATAATAAATTACAGTTTCCGAAGCAAAAGCGAGGGCGGGTCGCTAGTTTTCGTATAAAAATTTATATGAAAGTGAATTTTTAAGAACTATATATAAATATTAAAGCTATAGATAGACACGTAACATATTTTTTTATACGGTAGATAGAGCTGTCAACTATACGAAAAGTTCAAAAAGTAAAAATCTCAAAAAGTCCACATAGCAGATTTTGGTTTGACAACGACGATCCACTTAATATTTCATATTGTTTACTTTTTTTAATGATTCCAAAATTTACAGTGCGTAGAATATCGAATTTCTAATCAAATTCTACGACAAATGGGAATGTTTTTAGTTAAATTTTGGAACGAAGTTCCTTATCGCGCGTTGTGAAAGGGGGCTAGACGGAAAAAATTCTTACGAAAAGTTGTCACGACACTTTTTAGATCCGTCATTCTGACCAATCAACGTGTAGGCGCTTATCGCGTGACATTGCTCGTATCCGATTGGTCCGCGTAATAAGTACAGTTTCTCGAGATAGCGTTTCAACAATAGTAATTTAGTTCATAGTATTGTTTTTTTCTTCTTCATAATGCCGTAATTTATTATTATAACTTAAAAAAAAATTTACAATTCCTTCACTAATTAATCGAAAGGAACTTCGTTCCATCCGGGTGTCTCTTGTTTAAAGTAGTATTTAGCTTACGTTTTGTTTTTCTAATCGTCAACGCGGACTTAAAGGCTGTAGCTTCGACGAAAAACCGCGAATCGTTCGTTACATAAATCTGGAAAGTTCCATTGGCACGCCGATAAACATCTTCGTCGCATCACGTACCTGTTATTATTTGCGCATGTGTCGGTCCCCCGTCGATATGGGTCAGGGGTGTCCAGCCTCCCCCTTGCACCGGGCGTCGCTCCACCCTCGGAGAGAAGAGCCGCCACCCCTTCGACTCCTATCTGTCGGAGAGCGCCCTTAATTTTATTAAAACATCATTAACCAAACAAATTGAAGGGATGCGTTCACGGATGATTAGGTCAGATAGTAATACCAAAAGACTTCATGATTCCTGACCATCGTTTACAGATTGTAAGATACTAGCGACCCGCCCTCGCTTCGCTTAGGAAACTGTAATTTATTATTGATTTCTCCACTATTTAATCGATGTTATTATACATATAAACCTTCCTCTTCAGTCACTCTATCTAATAAAAAAACCGCATCAAAATCCGTTGCGTAGTTTTAAAGATTTAAGCATACATAGGGACAGACAGATATAGGGACAGAGAAAGCGACTTTGTTTTATACTATGTAGTGATACAAGATTGGGTCATTATTCAATTGGCGACCAGTCACTCGCAACTAGGGCCCAATTTTTCTTTTTTTTTATTGCTTAGATGTGTTGCTCAGATTGCGGTCGCGTTGTTGTTGTTATTGGCGGCAAATTACCAATTATGCAAATAAATTACTGGTGGTAGGACCTCTTGTGAGGCCGCGCGGGTGGGTACCACCACCCTGCCTATTTCCGCGGTGAAGCAGTAATGCGCTTCGGTTTGAAGGGTGGGGCAGCCGTTATAACTATACTTGAGACTGAGACCTTAGAACTTATATCTCAAGGTGGGTGGCGCATTTACGTTGTGGATGTCTATGGGCTCCAGTAACCACTTAACACCAGGTGGGCTGTGAGCTCGTCCATCCATCTAAGCAATAAATAAATAATATCAATGAACGCGGCTTTGAGATGCATAAATAATCTTAAAGGAATAGTCGCGGCCGCTTATAGCGACAATAAGCGGTCATCATCAACAGCCCACATTCGTCTACTGCTGGACATAGGCCTCTCCCGATCTACACCACTGAGCCCGGTTTACGGCTCTCCTCATCCACTTCTTGCCGACCACAGTTCGGAGGTCATCGCACCACCTAGCCAGGGGGCGTCCCACGTTAAGTCTTCCGCTGCGCGGTCTCCACTCGAGAGCCCGTTTGCTCCAGCGATCGTCAGTCCTACGGCATATATGGCCAGCCCACTGCCACTTCAGCTTGCTGACTCTTTGAGCTATGTCGATGACTTTAGTTCTCTGTCTAATAATCTCATTCCGGATTTTATCCTTCAGAGAAACTCCGAACATGGCTCTTTCCATGGCTCGCTGAGCGACCTCGAGCTGACGGACCAACTGTACTGTGAGTGTCCACGTCTCGGCTCCGTAAGTCATTACAAGTGGTATCGAGTTGGAAATAATCGAAACGAGACTCGATTATGAAATCGACGATCATGATAATCGTAGAATCGATTGTAATTTTATGCCGATTATCTGCCTGTCTGCTCAATAACCTACCGCTGCCTACAGCTGAGTCCGCGTCAGATCACTACAAGACAAGCGAGACTAGACGCGTTTGAGTTTGAGTAATGGTTCTGCAATATGTAACATAATTATGTCTATCTCTAAAGTTCAAAAGAATTATGGACAACACGTCAATGATGTCTCTACCAAAAAATTTAATATTGTATAATTACTAAATACACTTACTGGTGGTAGGACCTCTTGTGAGTCCGCGCGGGTAGGTACCACCGCCCTGCCTATTTCTGCCGTGAGGCAGTAATGCGTTTCGGTTTGAAGGGTGGGGCAGCCATTGTAACTATATTGAGATCTTAGAACTTATATCTCAAGGTGGGTGGCGCATTTACGGTGTAGATGTCTATGGGCTCCAGTAACCACTTAACACCAGGTGGGCTGTGAGCTCGTCCACCCATCTAAGCATTTAAAAATAAATAAATATTGGAATAGATTTTTGTAATTATATTATAATACATGAAACAATAGTTACTTACTGTCTACTTATAGGCGGAATGTATCTTGATTCGTTAATAAACTTTTTTTTGTAGTACAATATCCTTGTGAGCATGTTGGTTTAAATATAAATTATTAGTGAGTTAGTTCCAACTACGACTAGCTTATTTACCAAAAGAAATAAATAAGAACTGGAAACTTAATTACAATTACTAATTTATAATTTTATTAATAACATAATTTTTTTTTAATTCCTATGAATGTGGTTGTTGTTTGCTAGTGACATAGGTTGATATAGTCAAAACAGCATTTTCCCAATATTTTGTTAGCAAAATAGATGATGTCTCTATAGATAGTACGATAGACAGGGCCGTATTCAAACGACAGGCAAGAACTTTGTAAGCTCAACGCTTACACCAGATCATTTTTACTGAGTATTTATTCATTTTAACAATTGAAGCTAATCATTATTAGTTTATCTGGTACAAATTGAGGACTTTCATTGAACGTAGTTGAGTAGCCAGGAGAACAATGTCTGGTTTTGCTTGAAAGCATTTCTGAAAGATGCTACTCTAAACTTTTAAACAATAATGCTATTAATTATGTTCTTGTTATAAATTAGGATAATTATGTTTTGGTTTAGGTTTTTTTTTCATGAAAACCTCTGATAGATTATTAATAGGTACTGCATAATGCTATGACTGCGAACACAGTCACACAAGTAGAAGTTTACCATGCACCTATGCAAGGGATTGCTCTAAAAATGACCTATTTAGTACAGAACATGCGCATAGACATTAGACATATGAAACTAATTCAATCTTATTTAGTTAAACTCAATTAGTTCCATTTTAATAAACAAAACAAAAAAAATTGCAATTTGAAACAGTAAAATTATGTGACCTTTTTTATGACCATTATAATATTATTGAGCTTTATAATTTAAGTTATTTATAATAAGATCTTTAAACAATTATTGTATTGAGTCAGCAATGTTTAGTGTCTATGATCATGCCTTATGAGAAAGTTATGTTACTTTGAAAGGATTTAATTGACAATTATTTAAAAGACTAGATTGTGTTCCAATGGATGAGTGATGAAACTCCATCATTCCACACTGGCACAAGGGTGTCACTCACTTTATATTGAAAAGTGTAAAAGATTAATCCTACATAAAATTTTGCTGTGATTAGTACAAATACTTAATTGATTATAATAATTATATAGATATTTTTTTTCCTAATATTCAATACAACTTTGTGCACTGCTTTGTGATTGTAAAGTTTCAAATTTTTCTTTTTGTGTCCTTGAAAAGAGTATTTGGCAGGAATGTAATTAAGCTTAGTTGAACATAATATTTACATGGCATAAGTGACAGCTTCATCCAATTTAAATTAGATATGTATGCCTGATTTAGTTTTAAAGCTAGCATGGCTTAATGTTTTTATGTGGTGATTAAGACTTTATTTGCCTTTTTGGTGAGATATAATATTTAATTTTACTGTTTTTACTGTATTTCCAATTGTTTTAGATGTTTTTTTTATACAATGTTTAGTAAATAAGTAGATATACATACTTTTTATATTGGGCTTGTTGTGTATAGATGGAATGAAGTGTTTTAAGCTATCTTGTATTTTGAGAGAGAATTATCTATGATTTTATGTACATACTTATATACAATATTGTTGATTAAATTATTTAATTCAATCACAGTTAACAGTTGACTTTAAAAATAGCAATAAAAGAGTTGCCAGCACTAGAAACAAGTTAGTTTAAATAAAAAAATGATTTTTTTTATCACTAAAAATAAAGTTATTTTTTCAACAAATTATTTCGTTAGACTTACACAGCAGTAAGATAGTTTTAAATACTTACTTTTTATTACCATATTTAATTTTAAAGACGCAGTCCAACCTATACACTTCCCGTTCACTTTCCAAAATACGCGAAATTTTCCTGCAGATCTTTTTGCAGTCTTCACTAAAATACTGGCAATTAAGATTGCTGTTATCCTGCGCAATATTCCTCAAAAAATATAAATCGAAACGCGAAATATTCGTGAACGTTATAATAACTTTAGAACTTTCCAAAAATAATAATATTGTTCTCAAATAGTCCAAGAGAACGCAGACCGGTATAAAATAAATTACTTCTTCGAATTCTATTTCGAATGCCTCTGAGCTGTCACTGTCCGAATCATCTTTAGATGCATCACTAGCTCTACGAGAAACGTCGGAACCGCTGATATGTTCAAAAAAACTCATTTTGGACCACATATGAACGTAATCAGTTGAAATTATTTTTATTTTAACACTAGATGAACACTTTAAAAAAATAAAGTGCGTTTCCTTTTTCCGCGTTAGAGCAGTGATTATTATTCAATTAAGGCATAATATAATTTATTGGCAGTTTTTCTGATTTATTTGGTTAACAAGTGCACCCCGGAACGGCCGAAACAGATTTGAAGGAAATGTAAATTCGCGTTTCAGAGTCAACATAATGACCGCTAGATCAGGTGACTCGATTTTTTGTCTTATTTGATTTCTATGAGTGGAATAGAGATAGTTACAATCAATGCTTGAGTTTGTTGAATATTTGTTTTGATGCAACAGTTTGTCTGGAACGCGTATGAATACAAAGCAAAGTTATGAGAATGGGAAGGAGACCTATATCCTAAACATCAGCCCACTGAGTTTCTAGCCGTATCTTCTCAGCGGGTCGCGATTGCGATCAGGTAGTAGATTCATTCGCCAAACAGCTAGTCTCAAGTTGTTGGGTCTCCTTTGGAGGCGCTAGAGTAGCTGTTAGCAAATCTCACCCTTCCTGGCCGAGCTCTTGCTCACCCACCTTGGTAAAACTGGAAAGTAATCTCCTAAGCTTAAGAAAAACCTTTCAAAAATAAATATTATTGTTAATCATAGTGAACTAAAAAACCTGAACTTGACTTATCACTAGACATTTATAGCTCGTAAATAAAATTAAAGGATTATACCTACTGCTATCAAAATAATTCACTATGTTTTAATTTAAATAAATTATGGTAAATACCAAAAAAAAGACATTTCTTACCCTATAGATATTCATTTCAAGTGTATATTTATTGAAAAAATGTAATAATCAGTGCAACTAAGGAATTGCTTGATTATCTCGTCATGACGTCTTTAACATCGCATCGCCTCTGAGTTCATCTATACTACCTAGAACCACTATGAGTGTTTGAAATATGTTTTTTGACGCATCATTCGGCATATGAATGAACTTGTTGCAAAGGTATTTTGGGATGTTCTTCTTCAAGCGACGTGTGCGAAGGGTAAGGAGCGGCTTGGCTAAGCCCCTGGCATTGCATATCCATGAGCACCTACCATCAGGCGTATCACCCATACAAAGAATCCATTTTTAGCTGAGATTGTCGTGCAAAGATGCTCTCCAGCACCAAAATGTCGAGTGAGAGCCTCAAGATAGATATCTTAATTAGCTTCTACAGATACTGTTACTTTTATGGATTCCCTTAAACTGTTAGTATGCCGTTAAAGTTTTTTACTCCTTAACGTATTTCAACAACGCATTACAAGTCAACTAATGCATTGTTAAGATTGACATGATTCGAGTCTACTCAGTATTCTTTCAAAGCCTAGCGTGCTTTTATAAGATTGACCTGTATTTATATATGTAACGGAAGATTACAACGTAATTTTCGCTAGCATAAGTGACGTCCGAACCACTTGAAAATTACAATAGAATGATTTTTTAACTTTGACATATTATTATCTTTATCAGGAACATTAGATTTTTTTTTATTAAAAATAATTTTTTTAGTTAGGGTCGCCGTTTTAGTTCCTATTTAAAGTATACACATGTTTAATATACATGTTTTTACATGTAGTTCCTTAGAAGAATTATTCTGGAACTACATACATGTCGCGTCGTGGCAATGATACTGAAGTAAATGTCATAATCTGAAATATTACAACAGCTGCATGAGTAATGTTATGCTCTCTTTTGGAATTGGGATGTAGTTTTCCCTGAAAAAAAATCTTTATATTTTTTTTTTTGTTACGCCTAAAGTCTTCGTCAAACAGATCACGTACTTAGCGCGCGTCAGAGCGCTAAACTAACGCTGCGCTATGACGCCGAGATGTGTTGTACTACTACGGTATCATACGCCGCCAGCGCTATAGCGCTCATAGCACTGGCGCTCTGTTTGACGGTATGTTACCGTAGTAGTACAACACATCCCGGCGTCATAGTGTAGCGCTCTGACGCGCGCTAATTACGCGTTCTGTTTGACGAAGCGTTAAATACTGTCGGTCTTTTTGTAATTTTTGAAGGTAGGCAATGACTTTTGTCGAGGGTGTAGTGTCTTACATTCATGTTTTTAATACAGTTAATTAATACTTTATCCTCATGTTTCAAAGTGGATTGTATCCTGCATATCTTCACGTTTACGGACTCAGCTAACGTATTATATTTCAATCCACATGATGTTTGGTTTTAAATTTTTTGAAAGAATACTGATATATTTATGAGGTTTTTATACGGCTATTACGGTATCAGCAGAGGTTTATTAATAAAAATAAATAATTACGGTATATTTTAAAAAATAAATAATAAAATTTTAGGCTTTGTATGGGATATGTTCCCTTTGCCTTTCAAAAGTGATACATTTAAGAAAGTCGATTCAAATACGTCAATGAAAAATTTGTTTGTTGTGTTGATATGAAGTTTTTATCGTTATACTAACATAAACCATAAATAAAAATGTCTTCAAACATGAACTGGGACATTAATAAGTACAAGGAAAACCACGAGAGTAATGATCATTGGGAACTACGCAAAGCCTTTATGGAGAAATGGAAAGAACATTACCCTGAAGAAAGACTTGTTTGCCTGGCGAGGGTCTTTGCGAATATGGAGTTTTTAGGCTGTAGATATCCACAGGAAGTTATGCAAGAGGTGTCTAAGCTATCACAAGAGGTAAAAATTATCTTCAAACTGACCTAAAACTGTAATAGCTATAGGTTAATGCTGCAAGATAATTGACACTTTCAACTCACATTTCATCCATTCATCAACAAATGGAACATGAGCTAATCCATTAATAGAGCACTTGCAGTCTGAATATTTAGTATCTATATATGCAGATATTGAGGTTCGCGGGGATCCGCTGGATGCAGGCAGCGCAGGACCGGTCTTTGTGGCGAGGCTTGGGGGAGGCCTATGTCCAGCAGTGGACGTCCATGGGCTGATAGATAGATAGATAGATAGATATGCAGATATTTAAAATGAATATAAATATTTATATCAGTCTGGTTCCTATAGTCCAGGGAATTCTAGTTATAGACCAGATGACATGACAGTGACAGATGGTTGTTTTCTGTTATTACCATGTTTATTTATCTTGGTTTATTTACACAGTTCTGTATTCAAATTTATAATATAATAAAAAAAGGACATTAGACTGTAAAAGTATGTTGTAAATTATTTTTTTTGCCCTTGTATGCAGACAAGCATATGGCTCACCTGATGGTGAGTGGTTACCGTCGCCCATGGACTTCAGCAATGCCAGAGGCAGAGCCAAGCCACTGCCTATCACTTAATACTCTCCACAAGCCTCATTTGAGGAAAGTGCAAACTGAAGAAGATAGTGTAATGTAAGAAGTACCAAACTGTCTTTGTTGTAACTTTTTTAAATATCACATTAACTTTAATCTACTAAATAAATTTGATGAACATATAATGGATAAAGAGTACAGCCACATTGTTGTCACGGGTGAGTAAAAGAAAAAACCATTAAGTATTACATACTGCAACTTGGCGTCGCTCGGTGGAGCAGGAGCTAGGGGTCCTGGGCATGACGTGGGAGGAGCTAGAACAGACTGCCCAAGACCGATATAAATGGAAAAATTTGATTCGAGCCCTACACCCCAGCAGAGGGTAATAGGAAAGCATAATGATGATGATTACATACTGCATTGTTATATTTCAGGTAGCGAAAACGTATCGCCACGAAAAGAAAAGTAAACTACAACGAACATTTGTGGCAGCATCGACCATGGCTGAGGACAGGGTTAAGGGGATCAAACGGACAGGCGGTATAGTCGAAAACAGTACACCGGCAAAAGCGTCCAGAATTAATTTTGTACCCCAAGGAAGCCGAATGACTAGTGATAACAATAATTCAATTGAAAACACAGAAGAAAACTTAGAACCAATAGCACAGTCCGAGTGGACTGCAGCTAAAAGTCAAAAGGAAAAATCGCTTTTAGACGCGAAAGGCTATATAAATGATATAATGAATATGGAAAGATTGGATTTAAAATATTTTCACGAGGATATGTTTAATACTAGTTACGGTAGGCTTGTACTACTAATAAGACCATGGGCTGGAAAAATATGGAACATGCAAGGTNATTTAGAACCAATAGCACAGTCCGAGTGGACTGCAGCTAAAAGTCAAAAGGAAAAATCGCTTTTAGACGCGAAAGGCTATATAAATGATATAATGAATATGGAAAGATTGGATTTAAAATATTTTCACGAGGATATGTTTAATACTAGTTACGGTAGGCTTGTACTACTAATAAGACCATGGGCTGGAAAAATATGGAACATGCAAGGTGAGAATTGCATGCATAGGAAAGTAGAGAGGGCATGGTGAAAGCGCATTGAGAGCATATTTGAAAGCATACGTCCATATATACATTTATTAATCCTTATGTGAAAATGAGAATACATTACATGTGATCTTATGTACTTACATATCATCGCTGTCAAACCAAAATCTGCTATATGCAAAAACTATTTTGAATTGACAAGTAAAAATATTTACATATAATATTTTATATGAATGTGAATGTTTAAGAACTATATCAAATGAAAGCTATAGATAAATATTAAAGCTATAGACACATAACAGTTTTTCTTTATATGGTAGATAGGGCTGTGAACTATACGAAAAGGTCAAAAAGTAAAAATCAGATTTTGATTTGACAACAACGATATGATCTTATGTAATGGAATGTTAATTTTTACTGGTGGTAGGACCTCTTGTGAGTCCGCACGGGTAGGTACCACCGCCCTGCCTATTTCTGCCGTGAAGCAGTAATGTGTTTAAGGGTGGGGCAGCCGTTGTGACTATACTGAGACCTTAGAACTATATCTCAAGGTGTGTGGCGCATTTTACGTTGTAGATGTCTAGGGGCTCCAGTAACCACTTAACACCAGGTGGGCTGTGAGCTCGTCCACACATCTAAGCAATAAAAAAAATATAATAATAATAATAGTCTTCTAGCTTCTAGCTTCTAGCTTCATAGAACACTTTAAATCCAAGTTTTAAATTGATTTCAGCCAGTTGCCAAGCGTGTAAACTACCATTTGAATTCAAATACAAAAACGGTATCTGCGTGTATAGTATTAGAGGTAAAATATTGGCCGAAGGGCAGGGCGAGACGAAAGCTGAAGCCAAAAGTGCAGCTGAAGCCTTGGCCTGGACTGTAAGTACAGCATCTATATCTATTTATACTAATATATAAAACTACAGTGGTTTTTACGGATGTTCCGTTATAGCTACTGAACCGTGCATCCGATTGACTTGAAACTTGGTATCCATGTAGAAAATACATGTACTTAATGGATAGGCTAATATTTATATGAGTGTTGGACTCCCTACACCAGTTGCGGGGGCGTTAATGATGAGAATCTTTGTGGGGGTCAGAAATAATAATGTTAATTTTAAATGCCCAGCGAATAGGACGGGTACAGCTAGTCTCTGATAGATCGGTAGTTTTGGCGTTATGGGGCAGGGTGACAGGACCGGAAAACCAAGGGAGGTGCAATTCTGCTGCCTGTCACTTAGCTAATCTTTTAAACTTCATATAAGACACGCACGGGTTGGTACCACCATCCCGCCTATTTCCGCCGTGAAGCAGTAATGCGTTTCGGTTCTAAAGGTGGGGTAGCCGTTGTAACTATACTGAGACCTTAGAACTTATATCTCGAGGTGGGTGGCGCATTTACGTTGTAGATGTCTATGGGCTCCAGTAACCACTTAACATCAGGTGGGCTGTGAGCTCGTCCACACATCAAAGCAATAAAAAAAATTAAAAAAAATACAGGCCTACAATAGCGGTCATACCACATAAATGATGATTACATTTCCGATATGAATTGTAATGAGAGAAATGTTGTCTGGAAATGTCTGTAAACAAAATCCACTGGTTTTATCGACGGATTACCTCAGTGGGCCGCGATTCCGTTTTGTTTTTAATTGTTTAAATTGTGTGTTTTCGCCACATACTATCCGGTTTGGAACGAGCTCCCCTCCACGGTGTTTCCCGAGCGCTATGAAATGTCCGTTTTCAAACGAGGCATGTGGAGTGCACTTAACGGTAGACAGCGGCTTACCTCTGCCTCTGGCATTGCTGACGTCCATGGGCGATGGTAACCACTCACCATCAGGTAGATCGTATGCTCGTCTGCCTACAAGGGCAATGAATAGTAAAACACCAAATAAACACATGATCTTTAATTCCTGCACCCTATTTTCTAGCGTCTCAGCGAACAAAGTGTGATATTAATCGTGAAAGAGCAGTGGATAGCACAAGGTGACGCCCGAATCAGTCTGAGTGACTTCTCAGGACCCGCCAGCAAGGAGGTCAGCTTCGGCACACCGATCGAAAGCAGTGTGGCTCTCAAGTAAGAAGACTTTTTTTTCCTACCTATGCTGATAGCCTTGAGAGGCTATGTCAGCTTCGCCCTAACGTGTAGGTGAGCTCACGGGCCTCAAACCGGAGTGTTGCTAACACTGGCCCTAGCAAGAGCAGTGCAGAATCTACCACCGGATCGGAAACGCGACCCGGTGGTAGATTCTGCCAAGAGCACCGAAAAGATGCTGTGACAATTTTTGAAAAAAATAATAATAATTTCAAAACTCTTTGTATTCGTCTGGTTTGTTACAGGATGATGAAGATGATGGGCTGGAAGGGCGGCGGGCTCGGTGCGGAGTCGCAGGGCATCGAGGAGCCAATCAAACCTAAAATGCAAATGGTACGTCTGTGTGTTAGTTCATCGGTGCTGTACGAGTATATAGTAATGTTACGCCGGTAAGAGTAACGCCCTCTATCGCCGGATAGTCGAACGAATATCGAAGGACCTAGTGGCATCTAGAACGCTCGAGAAGTACAACGCCATCTATTGTCAGATAGCGGAAACACAATACTCGAAATGTGTGGAATATTCTCGACGATTCTAGGGATTTCGTCTCGACTATAATATGCTTTTAATTCGAACGAAATATGCATCTAATTCTTTTGTCCGTAGATCTTGTAGGTTGTTTGATGCTAAGTTTTCTAATGCTGACATCTTTTGCTTGTCACTTGTAGCATATAGAAAAGCTATTTTAAAATATATATAAGGTGATTTAGTCTGATGAGTTTTATAGTTTTATAGTGTTAGTTGATGTACAAAATAATATGCGCGTATTGTGTTGCTCTTGTTTTTTTGTAATTTAAATTTCCAAATTTCTCTTCTCTGTTCACTTTCTACTTATATGTGATTTTGATTGTGGAAACATATTTGGTTATTGTTTTAGCTATATTTTTTAAAATATTATATGTTTGTTTTGTACTGTTTGTTTCCCGAATAAATAAATAAAAAATAATAATAGCGTTGTAGATATGGCACGCAGTCAGTTAGTAATCGGAACTACTCGAAGCGAAACAGCGAACGGATCACCTGAAGCGAAGCGGAAGAAGCGAATTGAGAGTTTTAAAGTGTTTCTTGAGTGTTTTAAGTGTTCTAAGTGCTAATACAGTGTTAACTTGTACTTCGGTAGATTTATTTATTTATCTCGAACCCCAGCGAGTAACAGTATTTTCTTCACTTCGATAAAGTGGCACGACACGAGAACCCTCTCATCATGGCCGCCGGTAACTACATTCCCGATCCTGCGGACAGAATGGAAAGCAGTCGACGTCGCCCAAAGCACGTCATTACGGATCCTGCCGATCCATTAACGGTGCTTTTAGGCACCACAAGCACCGGTCACCGTCCTCGTCGAACCCGTCGCTTGTGACGAAAGGCTCGACGAGTAAATGAACCCATAGACACAGCCCACTGAGTTTCTCGCAGGATCTTCTCAGTGGGTCGCGTTTCCGATCCGGTGGTAGATTCTGTGAAGCACTGCTCTTGCTAGGGTCAGTGTTAGCAACACTCCGGTTTGAGCCCCGTGAGCTCACCTACACACGTTAGGGCGTAGTTAGCTGAAATAGCCTCTCAAGGCTATCAGCTTAGGTAGGAAAAATACACTTTGCAACTACGATGTGTTGTACATGCATTCAGGACTTCATTTTTTGAGTTGTTAGGTTTCCTTCGGAGGTGCTCGGGCGGCTGTTAGCTAATCGCACCGCTCCTGACTGAGCCTTTGCTCGCCCACCTGTCCTGGTGAAACTGGAAAGGCCTTCGAGCCACCAGTAATTTTTCAATCATAAAAAAAAGAAGTCATTTTTGCCCACCTGTCCTGGTGAAACTAGAAAGGCCCTCGGGCCACCAGTAATCCCTCAATCATAAAAAAAAAACGTAATTTTTCTCTGGATCAGGTGAACCGCGCCGGCCTAGGTAGCGACGTCGGCGGCGCGAAGCAGTTCAGGAGGGCGGCCCAGGGGCTGATGCGGCGGTTCCTCGACTCGGGCTCCTTCGACCTGGACCTAGTGTTCAGCAGTGACTTTACAAAGGAGGAGCGCGCCGCGCTGCACCAGTGTGCCAAGAGCGCCGGCCTCGCCTCCAAGAGCTACGGCGACGTGGACAGGTCACTATGACGTTATCGTCTTCGTTTATACGTCATAACTTGTTGTTCAGGGCGAAGGACCTCGTGCACGAAGCTCCACGCACTGGACTAATCACGTGATCAAGTAATCGTGACCTAAAGGTGGCCTTTGCTGGTGGTAGAACCTCTTGTGAGTCCGCGCGGGTAGGTACCACCGCCCCGCCTATTTCTGCCGTGAAGCAGTAATGCGTGTCGGTTTGAAGGGTGGGGCAGCCGTTGTAACTATACTGAGACCTTAGGACTTATATCTCAAAGTAGGTGGCGACATTTACGTTGTAAATGTCTATGGCGTCCAGTAACTACTTAACACCAGGTGGGCTGTGAGCTCGCCCATCCATCTACGAGATGAGATCACAGATACGAGTTCTAAGGTCTCAGTATAGTTACAACGGCTGCCCCACCCTTCAAACAGAAACGCATTACTGCTTCACGGCAGAAATAGCTAGGGTGGCGGTACCTACCCGTGCGAACTCACAAGAGATCCTGCCACCAATATCTCTCGAGGAGGTTAAAGTTACATATTCTTGTATAACCCGCAATGGACGTCATCCAGTCAAAGCCTTTCATTCTTCAATTTAATACAACCTTAAAAAATAAAAAATAAAAATTTTAAGGGATTTTATAACCTGGTAACTAAGATCTTTAAGTCATGTCATTATAATTTATATTTTAATTTTTATAAAAAATGATAATATTGATTTGAGACATTAATCAACTGGGATGAAATTAAATGAAATATAATCTCAGTAAAATGGTGGTCATTTACAGAGATTTTTTCAGTTTCATTTCACATATTTGTGCACTTTCACAGATATTAAACAGTTAATAAACCACCGTTATTACACATTTAAACCTGAAGAAACACTAATGAATACTCAAAATAAAACAAATCACACAACTTCACTCCTCGCGTTCCCGCCAAAAAGTCCATTAAAATAAAATACCCGCATTCCTTACCAACAGATTCTTGGTCGTGAAAAAGAAGATAGAGCCGTTTTCATTATTCCGTGCTGTACTAGAAAATGGAGGGAACACTTCGAAATATCAAATCATAATACCCGCCACATTACGCAGCAATGGAAGATGAAGTTTTTGTTTTTTTTTGTTGTACTATTGTTTTACATATCTGATTTTATATTTGTAAATAAATGTTTTATTCTAAATCTATTTTGTAAATAAATGTATGATTCATAGTCTGATATTAGTTTTATTAATACTACTAGCGGTGCCTGAGTAGTCGAAATTCGACTATAATTAATTGAAATTATAAGTTTGAGCATTATGGTTATATTGTCAAAAACTATTTAACTTCTATAATCACAGATTTCGCCAAGACACTACAGACAAATAATGTTAAAGACAAACAATATTACACTATTCTCAATTTGACCCCAGACTTTACAAAACTTTGAGAATATACACAGAGTATGCATGCGTGTTGTGTCAAATACATGATAGTGTGTGTAATGTTTTTTTTTAATTGATTTAATGTATTTTTTATGCATAACTTACAAAAAATTAACTACTCGAGGTTACTAGCAGAAGGTAGGCAAATAAAGAAATAAAAAGTTTCTGGACTTTGACCGAGAATTAAACCTGAAGCTCTTGGTTCTTAACTAATAATAATAATGACTATAGTTAATAATTAATAATAAATATATAATAGTTATAATAAACGTGACGATCCAACGACCGGCAAAGCGAAATTAGACGCATGCAGCTGTGGATTTCACGTTCTTACGGATCCATCAGATCCAATAACCCTTGCATTAGACGTCTTCAGCTCTAACACTAGGAGTAGGGACCCCGGTAACCGTACTCGTCGAACTCGGCAAAGAGTTCGACGTGCAACCTAACCTAAACATTGCCGGATCTTTTGAGCGCGTCGCGATTCCGATCCGGTAGTAGATTCATTCGCGAAGCAGCTGCTCTTGAGTTATTAGGTCTCCTTCGGAGGCGCTCGGGCAGCTGTTAGCAAATCCCGCCCCTTCTGGCTGAGCCCTTGCTCGCCCACCTGTCCTTGTGAAACTGGACAGACCTCAGGGCCACCAGTAAATCCTCAATCATAATAAAGAATTTGTACTGGCACAACCTCACAGGCAAAATGATCACACTAAATTTTAACAGCTTTTTCTCGGCAAGTGATATTTAAAATTGTCGTCAAGTTGAAAATAGAAAAATTAAAAGATTTTATTAAATACATTTACTGCTCAAGACTCTCTTAGCCTTGTTTTACAATTGACTTCGTCACTTTTTGAGGTGATTTGTCCGTCGGTTCACTTTGAATAGAACTCTCCTCATGTTTTTGGAGGATGGATCACTTCACCGAGTTTCACCGCGATTTTGGCGTCGTCGTGTCTTATAGGATAAGACGTCCGGTGCATTCGTGTGTAGCGATGCAACGGTGTTCGCATCCCGCTGGCGCGTAGATACCAATTTTTCTAATGAAATATAATACGTACTTAACAAATGTTCACGATTGACTTTTTTATTATTGCTTAGATGTGTAGACGAGCTCACAGCCCACCTGGTCTTAAGTGGTTACTGGAGCCCATAAACATCTACAACGTAAATGCGCCACACACCTTGAGATATAAGTTCTAAGGTAGTAAGGTTCTCAGTATAGTCACAACGGCTGTCCCACCCTTCAAACCGAAATGCATTACTGCTTCACGGCAGAAATAGGCGGGGCGGTGTTACCTACCCGTGCGGACTCACAAGAGGTCCTACCACCAGTAAAAAACTTTCACTGTGAAGGAATAACATCGTGTGATAAAAATCAAACGAGCAATATTATAATTTGCGTAATTACTGGTGGTAGAACATCTTGTGAGTTCGCACAGACAGGTAACTAGATACCACCACCCTGCCTATTTCTGCCGTGAAGAAATAATGCGTTTCGGTTTGAAAGGTGGGGCAGCCGTTGTACTGTAAAAATGGAGACCTAATAACTCAGATAGGTGGCGACATTTACGTTGTAGATGTCTAAGGGCTCCGGTAACCACTTAACATGACATGAACGATGACCGGTGCGTGAGGAACCTAAAAGCACCGTTAGTGGATCGGGAGGATCCGAAATGAAGTGTTTGGGGCGACGTCGACTGCTTTCCATTCTGTCCGCAGGATCGGGAATGTAGTTACCGGCAGCCACGATGAGAGGGTTCTCGTGTCGTGCCGCTTTATCGAAGTGGCAAAGAATCACCTCATATTATGTACACGCTTTTATAGTTATTTCGACTATGTCCAGTTCCTCCGAAATACGATTTTGCTATTTGACGATAGATGACGTTACTTATACCCTAATAGCACTAAAGAAATGTTCTAGAACATTTAAGTGATGTAGCAGTTTTTTCGATATCCCTTTTTACTATTTGACCACAGATGGCGTTACTTGTACCAGCCTATTAATTTAATAACAAACTTATTTAATAAACTATAACTTAGTTTCCCTTTGAAGTGAAAACAAGCAACACCGCATGCATCACGTAATCGTCATACCCGCATGCCAGAAACTAATAGCCCGAGATAAAATCTCAACTCTCATTTGTATTCCGCGAACAGAAACACCTGAAATTGATACGATCTCTTCTAAAATACGGGACAGATCGAAACAGTATTAGTATAAATAGAGCCTGAAATGTTCTTTGAATCATCAATCGCTATTTCATTGCTAAACACAGCACCTTGAACTATTTAAGATGACTTCAAAATTGACAATGATGTTGTTCACGTTGAGTCTAATGTTTATCGCCGGGTTAGATGGTTCGTTCATCAAACCTAATAACGTACCGAGGGTCGGCAGAAGCAATGAGGCCTTCGACGAGGACGTTATGGGATACGTGATCAAATCAAATAAAAACATTCCGCGTATGGGTAGAAGAAATTACGACTCGGTAAGTATTTTTTTGGGCTTTGAATACGTCGAATCTCTATTGGTGGTAGGATCTCGGTAATGCATGTGGTGTCCTTGTACCATGCTGCATAGGGTTGACGTGAGTTTTACGGCCGGTAAACCCCTGACGTCGACCCACCCTCATTGGTTTTTTTATTGCTTAGATGAGTGGACGAGCTCACAGCCCACCTGGTGTTAAGTGGTTACTGGAGCCCATAGACATGAGTAACTATACTTGAGACCTGAGAACTTATATCACAAGGTGGGTGGCGCATTTACGTTGTAGATGTCTATGGGCTCCAGTAACCACTTAAGACCAGGTGGGCTCGTCCACCCATCTAAGCATTAAAAATAAAACAACCCACCTTGAGACAAGAGTTCAAGTCTCAGTTTAACAGTACAAGAGTTGTCCTGCCTTTCAAACCGAAACGCATTTTACTGCTTCTCGGCAGAAATAGGCAGGCTGGTGGTACCTACCCATGCGAACTTACAAGACGTCCTACCACCAGTAATTACGCAAATTATGTTTGATTTTTATTAAACAATGCTGTTCCTTCACCGTGGAAGTCAATCGTGAATATTTCTTAAGTACGTATTTCATTAGAAAAATTGGTACCCGCCTGCGGGATTTGAACACCGTTGGATCGCTAGATACGAATGCACCGGATGTCTTATTCTTTAAGCCACGGGTCATTAAATGCTATATCATCTTCATCCGTCTCTTTTAGTAGCAATGTGTTCTCATTTAAAATTATTACTGTTTATTTCAATATTTAATTAGTACGTTACTTAATTGCAGGGAAATCATTTCGACATTCCAAAGGTCTACAGTTTGCCGTTCGAATTTTATGGAGGTGAGAAACTTTTTCTAGAGACTTGTTTACTGTTTTTTTTATTAAATTTACTAGCTCACCCTGCAGACTTCGTAGTGCCTCAATCGATAAATAAAAGACACATCAAAGGAAAACAAAATTGTGTGTTTTTATATAATTCCGAGCTTTTTTATATTTTTTCACCTTTTAAACCTTCTCTGGACTTCCACGAATAATTCAAGACTAAAATTAACCAAATCGGTCCAGCCGTTCTCGAGTTTTAGCGAGACTAAAAAACAGCAATTCATTTTTTTTATTTTTATTGTTTAGATGGGTGGACGAGCTCACAGCCCACCTGATGTTAAGTGGTTACTGAAGCCCATAGACATCCACAACTTAAAATGCGCCACCCACCTTGAGATATAAGTTCTAAGGTCTCAAGTTTAGTTACAACGGCTGCCCCACCCTTCAAACCGAAACGCATTACTGCTTCACGGCAGAAATAGGCAGGCTGGTGGTACCCACCCGCGTGGACTCACAAGAGGTCCTACCACCAGTAATAAAATATATAATTTTATATATATAGATTAATAATAGTCTCTGCTTTGTTGTAGACAACGAAAAAAGTTTGAATAATGACGATGCCGAGGAATACTATGCAAAAAAAATGGGAAGCATGAAGAAATAAATTTCGTCGGATTTCGGATATTTTATTCATTCGTTGAATTAACGAATCCATGATAACTCCTGTTCTAGTCAATCGCTAAAAATAAACTCTTGTATGCATGCAAATTTTATTTTATTTCCCGTAACAGAGGTGACACTTATCGCGTCTTAAATATTAAAATCTTTATCTATATGTACTAATATTATAAAGAAGAAATATTTGTTTGTTTGTTTGTATTGAATAGGCTCCGAAACTAATGAACCGATTTGAAAAATTATTTCACTGTTTGGAAGCTACACCAATCCCGAGTGACATAGGCTATAATGTTTTTTGAAAAAAATTAAGGATCCTTCCTAAAACTCAAATAATGTAACCCAAGGTGTAAAAAAATTACCTAAAATAGTCTTTACATCGCGTGCCCTGCGAAAACTATGACGATAGAATGAAATAATGTACTACGACTTTGTAGAACACATTATTATTTACAAAAAGTGTCACGACAGCATATGTCTAACTATTATAGTTATGCCGCATTAAGTGTTATTTTATTTAAAACAATAAAATAACGTCAAATATCGTTGAAATTTTTGTTAAAGACCCGAGCGGAGCCGGAGCGGGCCGCTAATTAATAATAACATGAAAGGCCTTGTCTATTACATGAAAAAATTATCCATTTCGATAAAGCGGCACGACACGAGAACCCTCTCATCATGGCCATCGGTAACTACATAGTCGATCCTGAGGACCAAATGGTAAGCATTCGACGTCGCCCAAAACACGTCATTACGGATCCTCCCGATCCACTAACAGCGCTTTTAGGTACCCCAAGCACCGCTCATCGTTCTCGTCGAAACCGTCGCTTGCGAGGAAGGGCTCGACGAGTAAATTAACCCACAGACACAGCTCACGGAGTTTCTCGCCGGATTTTCTCAGTAGGTCGCGTTACCGATCCGGTGGTAGATTCTGCGAAGCACTGCTCTTGCTAGGGTTCGTGTTAGCAACGTCGTTAGGAATGAGCCCAGTAAGATCACCTACTAGTTAGGGTTACGCTGAAATAAGTGTATAATCTATGGCTGAAATTGCCTCTCAAGGCTATCAGCTTAGGTAGGAAAAAAAAAGAAAATATAATTGGAAGTTTGATTTGTCTGAAATAAAATAATGAAGACGGTATTGAATGAAATGAAATTAGACGAGATGAAACATGAATCAACCATTAAAATCTAAAACGAAAAAAAAGCCAAAAACAATTACAAATATTTTTATTAAATTCAACTTCGGTATGACCTCATCGCAAAAATGAATTTCCATCCTTTAGCTAGTCATATTAATAACTGTAGTTGTTGCAAAGTACCCGGACTGCGCGCCGCCCTTACTTGTGTGAGTGACCAATCTGTATACGCGTCGATGTAGGCGTGAGAGCAAATACGGTCAGCAAACAAAACAATTCATTAAATTCAAGTTACGGATTTCACTCATTTTTATATTTTAAGTATATTGTAATTTACTTATTAGGAGTGGTCAAAATAAAAATATAAACATCACCCTTAAAGTAACTACTAATTTACATTAGTAATAATTAATTACCGTAAAACAGGGTGAATAGGGACAAATCCCAACTTGATGAACAATTTAAGGTAGTTGTTGATGTATATAATGCTATATCAGGATCAAAATGATCGAGTCTTGGGGGTATCTTTGTTATCCAATTTAAAACTACGCAATTAGCATTTCAGTTTAAGCATAAATAGATGATATTCAAGTTTTTAAACATTTTGTAATCAACAAGGTTGCAATACTTATACATATAGTTATTATTCTTAATGACTTTTCTTGGTGGTGACGCTTTAAAAAACTCAATATAATTCACACCAGGTAAGTTATCAGTTAATCTCTTTATTTTCATGCCAATTCGTTCTAAATATCCATTTATTATTATGCATAAGTCATAAGAATCAACCTGAACCCAATCTGAACAAATATTAATATATTTTATTATGTACTAGCTGACCCGGCAGACTTCGTAGTGCCTCAATCGATAAATAAAAGACCTAAACATTTGTATAAATTTTTTTTTAAAACAAAACGAATCTGTCTGTCGGGGGACACTTCAAACACTTCAAAGGAAAAACAGAATTGTTATTTTTATTTAATTCTGAGCATTTTCATATTTATCTACCTTTTAAACCGCTGGACTTCCACAAATAATTCAAGACCACTTTGAGATTATTCTTGTTACATGTCTGTGCAAAACCGACTTACTTATATTAAATTGCTTAACTATTTCAACTAAAGACTGCTAATTTCTAAAGACGTAAAATTTAATTTTTGCCATGAAATTTTTAAATTGCTATAGACAATAATTTAGCCAGGTGGCCACTGCATCTGCCTTCCTCCGAGGATATGAATGTGAAGGTGGTAAACGCTTTGGGCGCCATTCTTTCCATCGTTAACAACGAGGCGGAAGCCTGTCTTGTCCAGGCCTAGCTGGGCAGCAACTTTACGGGCAACAATTAGGAGATGTCCTGGAATAGAAAGTTTTGATTTTTCAGTTCAGTTATGATTTAGATCAGTGATTACATTTAATGTATTCCACATTTGAATGTCAGGGAGAACGTTATTGCTTAGATGGGTGGACGAGCTCACAGTCCACCTGGTGTTAAGCAGTTACTGGAGCCCATAGACATCTACAACGTAAATACGCCACCCACCTTGAGATATAAGTTCTAAGATCTACAACCACCCTATTTCTGCCGTGAAGCAGTAATGCGTTTCGGTTTGAAGGGTGGGGCAGCCGTTGTAACTATACTGAGACCTTAGTACTTATATCTCAAGGTGGGTGGCGGATTTACGTTGTAGATGTCTATGGGCTCCCATAACCACTCAATGCCAGGTGGGCTGTGAGCTCGTACACCGATAAAAACAATAAAAAAAGTGCATTCTTAAACGCTAGATGTTTTAGAAAATACGAGATGCTTGCCTGTCCAACTTTTAATTAAACATACATATCTGATGTTAACCTTTAAAATTATCAGACTTTCCTTATGGCATGTTGCATATATACTACTGGAGGTGTTATCCAATGAACGTTGACATCAGGGTGCTGGCCAGTTGTAAATCTCACATCAAATCCTTATGCTGCATGATAATAAAACATCGTGCACTGATCACACATAGTGTGGAATAAGGGAAGTTTTTGATGTTGTAGCTTTGTAAGTTGTAGGGGTGTGATCTTTTACACACATAAGACAAGACACACATCACGAGGGAGCTGGCAAATGAATCATTCTCACCTAACAGCTGTTCATCAGTATCATCAGCCAGCGAGAGCTGCGGAATAGGCTTCCTTGGTATCACCAATACATGAGTAGGAGCTTGTGGGTTCACATCATTGAATGCTACGCACTGAAACAATGAAATTAGTTAAATTAGGTATAAATGAAGAAAGAAAATAACCAATTAGCATGGCATGGCTTTAGTGAGTTAGTCTGTCCGGACGTAGCTGGAATAAACCCTTAGCCTCCCAGCAAAGTGATAAGAAAAAAGATTTTTTTTTTTAATTGGCTAATTTCGTTGATGAACTAGGTGAACTTTGAATCTATTGTTATATTTTTATGTTTTTCAAATCCAAACGCCAGAAAGTAGGAAAGCATTGCTATAGGTATGTCGAGTTGTTGACAGTCGCATCTGGTTTTTGGTTAGTGAAGCTCATTGTCATCCCAGCATTACTCAACAGCTGTTTGATGTTTCAAACACGTGAATTGGGCAGCATAGAGGTGTTAGGTAGCCCGTAGTCCTGGTAAACACCAAATAAGCCACGCATATACATAGTTCATGGTTAGGAAACAGCTGGTTTCTGACAGTGGATATCTCTTACACCGGCCGGCAAAGTATAGTCGGAAACTTTCGTTAAGTACTATATGGCTGTTAGAAAACTTTTTAGCTCACTTGTTCGTCTTCGTAAATGAAATTTGCAGGGATTTCTTTACGTAATATTTTCCCAAAGATTGTATCACCGCCTGGAGCGGCAGTTTGTGCGAGTTTCACCTCACCGTCCGCCATGTTTATGAAAGACGAGAAAACTACATTTTGGGTTTGTAATTGACAGTTAAATCTTAACAATTGTCCATCGAGTAGGCAAAGAGTACGTGACCATACAGCCATATTAAAACCGTTTCTGATGTCTAAAAATATGGGAAGCTAAGTATGGAAATATGGATTAACACTACTATGGGCTTCAAATCTCAGTTAAATAACGGGATTCATGTTAGAAGGGCTAAACTAACTAGTTTAATGATGCGAAAATAATACTAAAAGTCATTTTTTTTTTAATTTATTAATTACAATAATGTATAATGCTTAACAAAGTATTGCGAATTCATGATTGCTAGTTAAAGTCTCGCCCCCGGACCGCTCGGCCAGACCATGTGATGTAAAGCTCGTCCGAATACGTGAAGAGCTTTCAATTTCATTATTTTGTGATTCTCATCTAAAAACACGTGGTATCCTTGTCGGTATAATCCTTTTTTTGTGGCTACTTCATTTGCAACCAATAAGAGGTGACCTGAAGCAAAAGTTACAACAATTTGTGATGCTACTCATTTTAGAAATTTCGTAACAAAAAAAATATTATAAATATGACGTACATAGTTTTAGACGATACATAGATAGATATGTATATATTTATTAGGTATATTCCAACACTACATGACGATCACGACCACTCTGTCAAGAGTGACACGACTGAGAAGAAATTAGGTACGTAGCTAATACTTATTTTTCTAAACATTTAAGTAAATAATTGGAAATTTAAATTTCATTTCGTGCAACAATTGGAAATTGGGCGAATTATTTTCATCATAGTCAAGAGTTTGCCCCTTTTTTCAGCATGGCAATTAGCTTCCTGCGATACCATTGTTGCAAATATCGATCTTCTAAAAACTCCAATTATATAAAGTTTTCAATATTCTGTTAATGTTATTGAATAATGATATGGACTGCAATGAGATAAGATGAAATAAAGTTTCAATAACACAATGGTTATTTGCTGGGTCCTTTTGGAAGGAGCCCGGTCGAGTAACTTTGTTTAATTTTATTAAATTACAGTTAACATTGTTTCAAGACATTTATTTTATTAATATTTAAACCTGGTGATGCACTAAATAAATAAAATAAAACAATTCACTCAACTTCCAAATTAGGAGTTAGTATTTTAACACAGATAGCCCCCAAGGGGGTGATCTGTGTATTTTAACATCACTAATACCTTACTAGTTATGTATTAGGTACACTAGTGATGTACATATTACCTCCTAGGAATAAAGTAAGTATAAATCGTGCCGCAACCCAGAAATTCCTCCAGATACATACTTGATTAATATATGATTAAAATAATGATGAAAATATTATGTTTATGAACAGTAGCGACATTTACATTTTTATAAGGTAAATAGTATGTGGCGTTTAAGAACGCACCTTTTTATGATGCGTAAGCCGGAACACACGAGAGGTGGGAAAAAGAATATAGTCTGTGACGGAACCTTTTTACCGCCGAAAATGACTTTTTGGCGGGAACGCGAGGAGTGAAGTTGTGTGATTTGTTTTATTTTGTCTATTTAGTGTTTCTTCAGGTTTAAATGTGTAATAATGGTGGTTTATTAACTGTTTAATATCTGTGAAAGTGCACAAATGTGGAAAAATGAAACAAAGCCGCTGGACGTAACTTCTCGGGTTCCTCCAAAAAGTCCACTGAAAAATTTCAGTAAATGACCACCATTTTACTGCGATTATATTTCATCCCATATCATTTCATTTCATTTAATTTCATCCCAATTGATTAATGTCTCAAATTAATCATCTTCATTTCATTTCACTCCATATTATCATTTTTCATAAAATTAAGAATATAAAGTAAAATAAGACATGACTTAAAGGTCTTAGTTACCAGGTCATAAAATCTCTTTAAAAAAAACCGCCGAAAATGGAATTTTTGGCGGGAACGCGAGGAGTGAAGTTGTGTGATTTGTTTTTTTTGTCTATTTAGTGTTTCTTCCGGTTTAAATGTGTAATAATGGTGGTTTAATATCTGTTTAATATCTGTGAAAGTGCACAAATGTGGAAAGATGAAACAAAGCCGCTGGACGTAACTTCTCGGGATCCTCCAAAAAGTCCACTGAAAAAATCTTAGTAAATGACCACCATTTTACTGAGATTATATTTCATCCCATTTCATTTCATTTCATTTCATCCCAGTTGATTAATGTCTCAAATTAGTCGTCTTCATTTCATTTCACTCCATAATATCATTTTTCATAAAAATATGAATATAAATTAAAATAAGACATGACTTAAGGTCTCAGTTACCAGGTCATAAAATCCCTTAAAAAAACCGCCGATAATTTAAAACGTAAAAAAAATTTATAATGTGTTTTTGAATAACTAATATGTGTAACACTTCATAATAACTTAGAATTGTATACGCAGCTACAACAATAAAATTTCTATCCACAGATTTGGTAGAATCTGGCGCCAAGTTCCGTTCAAAAATCCTGTTGTAAACGGAGCGCCAGACTACCGACTGTGTTTACTGTAAGCAGAACGGTTTTTTGAGGTTGCAAATTGTTTCAACTGTGGTATTAATAACATAAAACACGACTTTACGGCGAAATAAAGAAGGGACTCTATATGAACTCCCTCAAGTATATTAATCTACTTACCAATAATTTTTTCGTCATCCACTGATGCTTCCGACATGACTGGAATTACCTTCTTCGGTACTACGAGAAAGTGTATTGGCGCTTGCCTGTCTAATTCTTCATCGAAAACTACGCACTGAAAAAAGAAAAGCATTCAAATTCTAGAGGGGTTAATGGGGTTAATGTTAACTTAAAGGAGTTAAAAAATATCATAACAAAAAAACCTCTGTAGCTATTTGAATGGATTAAACTTAATTGAAGTTCGATTAAAAACATCGAACTGTTGATGCTGATACCAAATAAAACGGACCTTTAATTACAAAGATAAATGTAGCGTATTGAGCGAAATGTCGCGTAAACCAAATAGACTTTCACCCCTCGATCTAATACTCTCAGGTAGTTTTCCAATGACAGCACAAGAGCGCATTATGCGGCATAATGCTCAACGTTGAATGTTCCAACTACAGCAACTCGAAGCACAATCGAGCACTCTCAAAAGTACTGCTCTCGCGTGATACTAGCAATCGATACCGACTCAGTGACATAAAATTGACAAGTGGTTTTTCTTTAAGTTGGCATTGATCGAAATTTTGTTTATATTATCGTTAGTAATATTATTTAATGTTGAAAAAAATTGTAAGGCTTTCGTTTCGTCGTAGTTTCTTAGAAATAATCAATGTTAATTAAAACTGTGCTAACTTAGCGCACTCTGCTGATGCATTTGAAAACTAATTCACGTTCCAATTAAGCTTCAGCATAATTCGGCATTGTGCGTCACTGAGTCGCATTATGCTCTGTAATTGGAAAACTACCTCAATGTCGAAGTGAAGCTATACGATGGATTGCCAAACACGTGTTTTGAATAAATACTCTTTGATGAAACTTCATAGGTATATCTTACAATGAAGCGATTTAATTCGCTGTCAACTACTATAGATTAAAACACAGATCTTTTTCTTTAAGTCTGAGTAGGTACAAAATTGCTACGAAAATATAAAATAAATAGCTGTACCCGTCCGCTTCGCTGGGCATTTAAAATTAACATTATTATTTATTGTCATTATTATTAGGGTATCCTACACTCATATAGATATTAGCCTATCCATTAAGCACATGTATTTTCAACGTGGATACCAAGTTTCAAGTCAATCGGATGCATAGTTCAATAGTTATAAGGGAACATCCGTAAAAACCACTGTGGTTTTGTATATTAGTGTAGATAAATAAAAAGTGATAAGCGTATGTAAAACATACCTGGTTATCTTCATATAAAACCTGTTTGGATTTTCTAATGTCTGAGATTTCCATTTTGCTGTGAAGCGTTTGAGCGGCCATTTATAAATGTGTATTTACATCACTGAATTTACATTAATTCGTAATCGTCAACCAAACATTAATAGCTTCTACAATATTGACGTTTATTTTGGTGTGACTCACCCTACTTTAGATAAGAAATAGCTGGTCGATTAATCATTTTAATCTTCAACTTCACACACAATTTTTAATCACACCGAATAATATATAGGGACTGTGATTACTAAAATGACAGGTTAATTTTTATTGTAGACTAGCGACCCGCCCTTTGTTTCGGAAACATTAAATTTTATTATTGATAGGCGAGTCCCGCCATGTTGCGCGCGGTACGACAATAACTGCGGGTGACGCCGCAGGGCAAAGCTAGTCTAAAAAAGTGGCCTAAGTTACTCCCTATATCATCAGCTACCTATCAGTGAAAGTCTCGTCAAAATCGGTCCAGCCGTTCCAGAGGTTAGCCGGAACAAACACACAAGACAGATATGACAAAAATTGTAAAAAATGTTATTTTGGTGTGTACCGCATATATTCATATTATTATGCATGTAGTAAAAAGCGGTTATTTCAATATTACAAACAGAATTACAGACAAATTGTGCGTGAAAGGTTCACAGGTTCACGTTCAAAATTAACTTAAAAGGAGACATACTTATCCTTCTGTCTCTTTCACTCCATCCCCTTCCTCTACCTCTTTTCGGTTTGAAAACGTTATTCGATGTTTTCCAAAAATACATTTTTCAGATTGGGTCCCTATAATTCTTAAGCTGCGATATGTTCCCTAAATACGTCGTGAATGGTCCCGGCGGCTGGCTGGATGGCTGATCCTTCGGTTAGTCGTAGGACCGTCGAGGCGATTCGCCCGGTCCTTGTGGATTGGTTGAATCGTGAGAGGACGCCTCACTTTCCGGCTCACGCAGGTGCTCACTGGGCATGGTTGCTTCGGTGAGTTCCTGCACCGGATCACAGCCGAGCCGACGGCAGAGTGCCACCATTGTGATTGCGACTTGGACACGGCAGAGCATACGCTCGTCGCCTGCCCCGCATGGAAGGGGTGGCGCCGTGTCCTCGTCGCAAAAATAGGAACAGACTTGTCGTTTCTGAGTGTTGTGGCATCGATGCTCGGCGACGACGAGTCGTGGAAGGCGATGCTCGACTTCTGCGAGTGCACCATCTCGCAGGAGGCGGCGGGGCGCGTGAGAGACGCATAATCCCGCCGCCGTCGAGCGAGGGTCAGGGAGGTGGATCTCGCCCAAGCCCTGGCCCTCTAAGTGTTTCGGGTCCCCCTCATATGTCAGTCTGGAGAACGGCGAAGGGGGCCTAAGAAGACGACGTGCAAGCTGCTCTGCACGCGTTTTACGCAAGAGCATCCGGGTGATGGAAGGTCGGCTATCCTCGACCCTGGTTCTGGTCCAGCGGGGTATTCCGTAGGATAGCTCACTCTAACCGGTGCCATCTAGGCGGGCTTCGGATAGCCTGCCGACCGAGAGGGCTGGTGGTCGTGGCGCCGACGACCGCCAGTCCGGCGTCCCGAGGGGGAGGGTGATGGGAGAGATGTGCTCCGCACTAAACGCTTCACTTTCCCCCCTTTGCCTTTTCATGAGTTCTGTCTTATGCGAGGTTTGGACGTTGGTTATTGAGCGACAGGAGGTTTTAGTTAGTTCGACTCTGACATGCGAATAAATAAATCTTTAGCCGCGTTTATACGAATTGGATCGCACTTTTTTAATCCGCGAATTCAGGAAGCGATTATTTTATTGCTTTAATGGGTGGACGAGCTCACAGCCCACCTGGTTTTAAGTGGTTACTGGAGCCCATAGACATCTACAACGTAAATGCGCCACCCACCTTGAGATATAAGTTCTAAGGTCTCAGTATAGTTAAATATTATCTAATCTCTTTTTTTTTATTGCTTAGATGGGTGGACGAGCTCACAGCCCACCTGGTGTTAAGTGGTTACTGGAGCCCATAGACATCCATAACGCAAATGCGCTACCCTTCAAAACGAAACGCATTACTGCTTCACGACAGAAATAGGCGGGGTGGTGGTACCTACCCGCGCGGACTCACAAGAGGTCCTATCACCAGTAAGACAATTATTCATTTAATTTCATCCCAGTTGATTAATGTCTCAAATTAATCATCTTCATTTCGTTTCACTCCATATTATAATTTTTCATAAAAATAAGAATATATAAATTAAAATAAGACATGGCTTAAAGGTCTTAGAAACCAGGTCATAAAATCCCTTAAAAAAAATAAAAAATAAGCCCGATTGCTATACTGAAAAAAAAGTAAGAATTTAAATTAAAAAGGATATTAAAAATTAACAAAAGAATCATTTAATCCAAGTTAATCACATAACATTTTTTCGCACATTATATCTATTTACAGCAGTTTATTTACATTATACAGATCACAGTCTTATACGCATACAAATAGGACATATTTTACAACACAATAGGGTAAACCATTTTTTATTGCGTACCCCGTGACTTAGTTAAAATCCAATTTATTACTATTATTTGGTACATTATCTTATTTTATACAATGGAAACATCGAAATGCAAACGAAAAAATATATATAAAAATAAATATAGATACAATTTTACAGAAAATATTCTGTTATAGGCTAAATCATTTAACCTTAACTTACGGTGCTAACAATAATAAGCCAACACCATACCAAAAAGTGATAATATAAAAGCGGCAATAATCGTATAGTTTACCCTATAAAGCAAAACAATGCAATATACACCTTTTAAAGTTAGTATTGTTCAGGGCTACTACGGATAAAAAGGTAATATTGACAGAGCTCTGCTTGTTTTGTCATTACCAACTTTGATTTGAGACAGTTTTTGTCATGAGGTTGTTTTTGTTTCAAGCGAAAACATTCTCAGTGCGGCAGCCTCTAAGATTTTGACTTTAAAGTCTCAACATGCATTTACGTAAACAGTTTAGCAGCCACGTTTCCGATACCGTTTGCCTAATACTATTTAAAAAAAAAAAAGTCATGGACAAATATCCCTTGTGTTTTGGCGGGAAAGCGAAGTTTTGTTGATGTTGTAATTTGTTAAGACTATTGGTAACAAGTTCTTGGTACTAATTAAACTATTAAACTATTTACATTATTATTAATTTTCGCTGACAGGCCAGTAACAAAGTCGATAGATTGGCCGTTAATATTGATCTATTGACGTTCGCGTGCTAAATAAATAAATAAATAATTAATAAAAACTTAACACTACGAAATGTTTGCGACCAATATTTAACAATGGCTAGTTATCAATATAATGTTTGTGTTGGTTGTATTGTTATCTACTTATGTGGATACTTTTTTTTCTGGCCACATAAGTTTTATTTTTATATCGACGCTTGAAAGGCAAACGTGACTAAGCGACAATGCGTGAACTTTACAGTAGACTAATTTAAAGTTGAAATACCCGAAAACAAAATTATATTTTTAAAAAATTCTATTCTAATGAATTTAGCTGTAGGATTGAAATGATTTTAATAGACCTAGAAATATATATTTTTTGCGCATCGAATATGGTTATTGCCTATCATTTATATACAAAGCAAATATTGTCGCTTAGTCACGTTTGCCTTTCAAGCGTCGATATGTAATTTTTTTATTTTATTTGTAATTTTGTTTTCAATAGCCAAAGCTAAGTACATTAATATGGATTTGCTGAGTGCACATACTATTTAGATTGCAATTTAGATTAGATTTAGGTACTGCTTGTACGATTTAGCTGATATATACTGTAATGATTGTAATTTGTTTTGTGCATCAATAAATGAAAAACAAAATTTAATTTTTTTTATTGCTTAGATGGGTTGACAATGTCACAGCCAACCTAATGTTAAGTGGTTACTGGAGTCCATAGACATCTACAACGTAAATGCGACACCCACCTTGAGATATAAGTTCTAAGGTCTCAAGTATAGTTACAACGGCTGCCCCGCCCTTCAAACCGAAACGCATTACTGCTTCACGGCAAAAACAGGCTGGTTCAATTAACCACTTACCAACAAGTCGGTCGGCAATTCGTTTACATGCTTAATGACACATTTCTATATATCGGCCCACAGACGACCACTGATGGACATATGCCCAATGCCTCAAAACAACGACCGATCCTCAATTCTCAATAGTAATAATAATAGTAACCGGGGACAAAAATAAATACAACCGAAATACAAATAAAAATATCGCAGTTTAAATAAAAAATTAAACAATAGCAAGTTGAAGAAATGACTACCCGCAAATAGTCCGTAAAGTTATATAAAGATTAAATTTTAAGACATTAAAACAAAAAACTGGAACGCGTACAACTTGGTGCACGTGAAAGAAGTGAAACTTCTTTTGCGGTGTTTAATATTAGTGTGGTTTTCTTCATTATTCATCTTTAAATCAAATTTCTCTTGTAATAGGGAATGCTGTGTATAAGAGAAACGACCTAGCTCCTTTTTTCCTCTCTGCACGGTCGAGTGGTTCGCGAGACGCTCTATCTATTATCTCACTCTCGCTCGTACTAAATCGTATCTTTTCTCTCTAGCCGTAACGAATCTGTCGCGAGTTAAATTTTACTCTCAACGCGCCTAAAGAAGTTTCACTTCGCAAAAATAGAAAATTAATACAAACACGAGAGAGAACGAAAGAGGGTGGGATAGCTATTGTACAGTTGAGACTTCGAACTCACGCCTCTGAAGATCGGCAGCGGCTTATGATGTCCATGGACTCCTGTGACCGCTTCACGTCAGACGGGCCGTGAGCTCGATCGCCTGTCTACGCCTTAGACATAACTAGATCTATAGCACGTTGACTGCAGTGTAGGTCACCGGTGCCCTACGCGCATTCAAGTAATTATGTATTATTACTCCTATTGGCCTTTATACGGTGCTATAGTTAAAAAAAAAAAAAAAACTAAGCAAAGATCCCGCTCGATGGAAGTTCTCTTTGTCTTCACACCGTAGAACCCCCACACCCTGCACGCCCAAAATACACGAGCAATCATCAACCCCCCCTACCGACCCCTCCCCCGCTAGCCCCACGAGGGGTCGTACTTGGTCCACTGGTAGTCCGGGGCCAGATAAACACGTCGACCTCGAATAAAGCACGTCACTATACCTCTGTACGCGGTCCTGGGGACTCCGCTCTGAAAAAAATAAATATATATATAATATAGTCTAAGGAAAGAAGACCTAGGTAGTGGACGTGGCCTGCTGACGTAATACAGCAGCGACTTCCAGACTGGTCGGAGTTGAAGAGGGGAGTTGGGGGGACCACTAGCATATGGTCTCGTTCACGACCTGATCTCGGCACCAGGAATTTTGGACACCAGACGGACGTTGTACATTCGCGTGTCAACTTAGTTACCAACCCACATTTTGTCCACATTAGTATTCAAAATCAATAATTGTTGAAAATTGTATTTTTTATCGTTCTTCTAATTATATTTTTTAATATTTTGAGTCGCGATTTCTAATTATATATTTATGTAAAACTTCCTTTAACTTGGACAGTAGGCTGGTAATTGCGAGACGAGTTACGCGTTATGAAAACTGTGATCGGGCGAGGCGAACAAATGTTGAGAGGGAGATAAGTTAGCGAAGGTCGGAGTAGAGTTCATTCATAATACCTGGAACCGCTGCGTTCATCTTCAATGCGTTTCCAGTGGACTTTTCTGCCACGTACCAAGCCCTTTGTCGCAAGCGACGGGCACGGCGAGGAAGGTTAATAGTTTTTTTTTTTAGGGATTTTATGACCTGGTAACTAGGACCTTTAAGTCATGTCTTATTTTAATTTATGTTCTTATTTTTATGAAAAATTATAATATGGAGCGAAATGAAATGAAATGAAGATCATTAATTTGAGATATTAATAAACTGGGATGAAATTAAATGAAATGATATGAGATGATATGGGATGAAATATAATCTCAGTCAAACGGTGGTCATTTACTGAGATTTTTTCAGTGGTTAATTTTTTAGAGGATCCCAAGAAGTTACTTCCCGCGGCTTTGTTTCATTTCCCCACATTCGTGCACAATTTCAGAGTTATATTAAACAGTTAATAAACCACCGTTATTACACATTTAAACCTGAAGAAACACTAAATAGACAAAATAAAACCAAATCACACAACTTCACTCCTCGCGTTCCCGCCAAAAAGTCTCCGGTTAATGGATCAGCAGTAAAGGATACAAGGGCAGTCTTATTCGTTCACTCTTTTCAACTCACTCTAAAGTCATCCATGAGGCCAAGTTTCTTGGCGGCCCGCTGGTAGCTCTTGGCATTGGAGTAAGAGACCCTGACTGCGGAATCCATCTCGCCAAGTATCACATCCTCGGCCATCACCTCCGGCAAGGAGTACACCGTAGAGGTTAGGGTCTCGTCGTAATTATCCTAAAAAATATATTATTTTTTTATTGCATAAATGGGTGGACGAGGTGTTAAGTGGTTATCGGAGCCCATAGACATCTACAACGTAAATGCCGCCTTAAGATACAAGTTCTAAGGTCTCAAGTATAGTTACAATGGCTGCACCGCCTTTCAAGCCGAAACGCATTACTGCTTCACGGCAGAAACAGGCAGGGTGGTGGTACCTAAAAACTACCTAAACCTAAAAAAAATTTCAATCTGATCCGTTTAAGTCTAAATAAATAAATAAATAAATAGCTCACCTTTAATAAATAAGTTAAGTTTAATTTAGTGAACTCGACGTAATCCAGATTCAATTGTATTTTCCTAAGGTGCTTATCGAAGAACAGTCCTTGACTCACGCCGATCTGTAACGTTATTGTGACCTTTCGTAAGCATCCGTGAGCATTCGTGATCTAGCGGTTGATATTCGAAATTGCATTGTGCATGATTATTAAATTGTTCTAAGACAACACACGTGATTGGTGTACTCAATATTTCTCTTAGCTCGACTATTTCTCGACTTAGCTCGATCACCCTATTCGCCTCTATGATGTCTGACGATGGTGTTAATAGTTGTGGCTTCGACATATATATATTGGCGAAATCTGTGATTATATTATATAAGTATAATAGTATTTGACAATAGAACCAGAATAATGTTTAAACATATAATTTCAATTGATTAAAGATTAATTTCGACTACTGCGGGACCACTAGTTATTTTAAATGTCCAAGGAAATAAATTGATTAAAACAATTTTGATTATTAACTTTTACCAAAAGTGCCAAAATTATAATTCACAAATAATGGATGAATTGAATTTGTTGAATTATAAGTTACTTTCAAAATTTTGCCGCCCTAGGCACTTGCACCGACTACCCCTAGTGTAAATCCACCACTGAATATATATATATATACACAACATTCAGACCGTCTGTCTACTGAGCTGTCACACCCGTGGATCACATCGGTGGAATATCTGCCTATTATCATCACCTCCCTAAAGAACTTACCTTCCCAAACGAATACGTCCTGGATATCTCCGGTCTGATGCAGGCTCGACCTTGGGTGTTGACTGGATTGCGGAGCCAGTCGTCGAAGAATCTGAGGCAACGCAACGGCTTTTTCACGCAGGCACGATTTTTAACTTAAACATCAGTGGCACAAGATCGATAATTCGTTAATTGAGTCGTCTATTATCAAAGGTGGCAATCTGTGCATTTGGACAGAAAAATGTTATTGATATGTCAATACAGATTGATTTGAATTTAATCGTCTCCTTCAAAGAATACGGTTCAAAACCTGCATTCAATAAAGGTTAATACTTAACCTGTTATTTATCTAAGATGTCGTTCAGAAGAGTTTTGTGACTGCCGATGGAATACAAAGTCAATAATTCGTTTTTCTGATTTACCAATAATTGTCCAAAAGTCGCATTGCCGGCTTTGATAATAGTCGACTCAATTCAACTTCGTCGTTTGGAGCTTTTGATTTTTAATTGCACTCTTAAAAGTGATAACTTGGAACTTATGTCTAAAGGTGGGTGGCGGCATTAACGGTGTAATTGTCTATGGACTACAATAATTACTTAGCACCAAATGGGTCGTGCGCTTGTCCACCTATTTAAGCAATAAAAAATATATGCTGTAATGTATTAAAAATTTCTCTGAGACAATTCTAAATCCTACCACCAGTATGCTTAGCATACCTGCCTAGGGTTACGGCAGCAATTAGCATAGTTACCGCACATGTTCCGATCACTTTGCCTTAACCACTTAACACCAGGTAGGTGAGCTCGTCCAGTCAATATCGCGTGTGCGTTCCACTCGTGATCATCCGTACTCACGCCGGAGGCCATATCGGCTCGAGTCTGGTCCACATCTCCTTCCTGAGCATCCACCCGAGGCCCGGGAAGAAGTCCGTCCTGTATAACAGTTCCGGCCTGGTCAGGTCTATTATGTCTTTCTTCCCGTTGTCATTCCACGCCGATATGCACCTGAGGCGGATGGATTCGACATTAGCAAAGATTAAGCTTAATGCAGCTTTAAGCTGCTGTAAAAGAATGGTGAAGGAACATTACTTATCCGGCATTTTTTTCCTACCTATTCTAATAGCCTTGAGAGGCTATTTCAGCTTCTCCTTGACGTGTAGGTGAGCTCACGGGGCTCTAACCGGGAGTGTTGCTAACACTGTAGCAAGAGCAGCGCTTCGCATAACCTACCACCGGATCGGAAACGCGACTCACTGAGAAAATCCGGCGAGAAGCTCATTGGGTTATAAACGATAAGACAGCCGGTGTACTCTTACGACGTTAGCAAATTCTCTCAGGTTGAGCTCATGAGCTCACCTACCCGTCCGGGCGTAGCTGGAATAGCCCCTTATATTACTAGCGACCAGGACACGACGACATCGAATCATTTCTACGTAGGAAACTACATCACAAGATAGTCTGACCTATAAAGCTGTCGATAAACAGAAGAAGACTTACCATAAACTAGGATCCTTTTGCAATAAAGGATACGTGCCCAAGAAATATTCGTAGAAATCCGGCGAAATGTCCAGGTCATCTGAAACATCAAGCAGTTTCTCTAACTATACTTTTCATCCGTATCATCCAGACAGACATCTGTTGCAGGATATAAGTCCCTCAGGAGGCTTGCCCGGTCAATGTCCGGTACTTCATTGACCCTCAACACAAAAGATCTTCAAGCATTTAAATTTACACACACAAAAAAATGATACTACAACTAATTAGTTACAGCCTACAGATAACAGATGGCGTTAGTTGTAGGTTTATATTATATTATATGTATTTTTATTGGTGATAGGACCTTTTGTGAGTCCGCGCGGGTAGGTACCAGCGCCCTGCCTATTTCTGTCGTGAAGCAGTAATACATTTCGGCTTGAAGGGTGGGGTAGCCGTTGTAACTATACGGAGACCTTAGAACTTATATCTCAAGGTGGGTGGCGCATTAACATTGCAAATGTCTATGGGCTCCAGTAACCACTTAGCACCAGGTGGGCTGTGAGCTCGTCCACCCACCGAAGCAATAAAAAATAATAATAATACGAATAATCAGTTACAGCCTATAGATTGACAGATGGCGTTAGTTGTAGGTTTATACGATGTATCTCACTGTACGATCCATGCACTTTTCGACATCACTGTACACTTTTGTTTGTTTTCATTATCATCACGCTTTGAATCGATCGATTTCCGTGTACAAGTGTACTCCGGCCACAGATAACAATCATCTTTTTTTTCCCCCTACCTATTCGCCGGTAGCCGAAGGGGTTAATCCAGTTAGGCCTAGACTATTCAAGCATCACAATCAGTACTCACCTTCAACAATTATCACAGCCTCGTGATTCAACGTGTTGAACATGTGATTTAAGGCGAATTTGAAATGCCTTGCGATCTTGTAGTAGCCTTTCAGCTTGACCTTGACCTTCGGAAGCGGTATCTCTGATAAATCCGGTTGCAGTATGACCTTTATCGACGGATCAGCATCGGTGAAGCTGCGTATCACTTGGTAAGTGGCGTTGTGACCGCAATCCTGTAAGAAATAAGTTTTGTTAGGGACAGACGATGTCACTACACGTTGTTACGGATCCATCAGATCCAATAACCATCGTATTAGACTCCTTCAGCTCTAACAATAGGAGCAGGCTTAGGGACCTCGGTAACCGTGCAACCTAACCTATGTATGTACCAACAGTTTTTTTTTATTATTCCTTAAAGGGTGGGACAGCTGTTGTACTGTTAAAACTGCGACCTTACAACTCAAGTCTCGAGGTGGGTGACGGCATTTACGTTGTAGATATCTACCGACTCCGGTTACCACTGAACACCAGGTGGTGTTCAGTGGTAAAGCTCGTCTACCTATTTAAGCTATTAAAAAAAAAGATTCGAAAATAAAAGCGTTTTAAAAAGATTATAATCAATAGTACTACACAGTTAGCGGATCCTTGAACAACGTACCAAGCGATGTGATAGCTTATCGGCACCGTAATAATCGCTGAATTACGTCGTATTCACTGATAACGGGCATATATTATTATAATCTAAACTGCTTAAGGCCTGTTTGAAATAATCGCAGATTAACAATGAACCGACGTCTTAATATAATCACGGAATATGTGATTAAGGCCACTTTTATTAGCTTTTACTACCCTATGGCACGTTGCAATGGGTGCATGGAGATATAAGCCATGTAGGGTTCACGTCAGCCAGGTCGTAAAACTCTTGTAAAATCCCTATGATCACAAATACAAAAGTCCTTCGCCGGTCGTAAAGCTCATGCAAAATCCCTATAACCACATATACAAAATCCCTTCGCCGGTCTTAATACTCATGTAAAATCCCTATGACCATATATGCAAACCCCTTCGCCGGTCGTAAAACTCTTGCAAATTCCCTATGACCATATATGCAAAATCCCTATGACCAAAGAATCAAGAGGTAAAACTCATGCTAAATCGCTATGACCACATATGCAAAATCCCTATGCAGTCATAGGGATTTAGCATGAGTTTTACCTCTTGAGTCTTCTCATACCAATGAGAAGAGGACGTACGCCGACCCCACATAATGTGGGCTTGTAGAAGAACATTGCTTTGTTTTTAGCGTTAGTTTGTCGTACCTTACAGCACCGATTCTCGATCACTCAGACGCGGTATTTATGTGCCCCATTAAAACAAATTACTGTCATTACATTATTGTTTGCACCGTTTCGAATACTTAGCAATTTTCGTGGTCACATACGACTGACCCCGTGAAAGTATTTTTGTTTGTTTGTTTCAATAACTGGGAACAAATCACGCACGGTCATCCGGCCCTTTTTTAGGATTCTCTGCGTTATTGATATTAAATATATAGATAATAAACAACACACTCATATAACGTTTGCTCGATGTGGGAATCGACCCCACGACCATCGGCGCAATAGTCAGAGACGTTAACTATTGCACCACCGAGACAGTTTTGATTAGCTTTTTCGTTTATTAGTGTTGTGGAAGGCTTAGCGACGGAGGGAAAATCTTCCACCAAGCAGGTGATATTGCTCGGTAGACCGTAGGTGCGATTATTTTTTCCTACCTATGCTGATAGCCTTGTGAGGCTATTTTTCGCCCTAACGTGTAGGTTAATTCACGGGGCTCAAACTTGACGACGTTGCTAGAGCAAGAGCCGTGCTTCGCAGAATCTACCACCGGATCGGAAACGCGACACACTGAGAAGATCCGGTGAGAAACTCAGTGGGCTATGTCTATGGGTTAATTTACTCGTCGAGCCCTTCGCCGCAAGCCACGGGTTCGGCGAGAACGGTGACCGGAGTTGGTCCGGATGTTTGGAATTTGTATATTTATACAAATATTGTTCCATTCCTATTCCAAATCCTATTCCAAACAAGTTTATCTTGAAAATGCTGTAAGCGAGATTCAAGAATATGTCAAATATTTTGTGTTCTATAATGGCCACAGTGTCACAATATATCATACGTTATAGTGTTATATACTATTACATGAGTGTGGTATGCGACTTCACATCTCAATGTGACGGGTCGCACTCAATTTTATTTTATTTTTCTGATTAAGGGTTTCACATCGCCTCCGAAGGAGACCTAACAACTAAAGAGTAGCTGCTTCGCGAATGAATGTACTAAAGGATCGGAATCGCGACCCGCTAAGATCCGGCGAGAAACTCAACGGGCTGATGTTTAGATTAGGTTGCACGTCGAACTCTTTGCCGAGTTCGATGCGTACGGGTACCGGGGTCTCTACTCCTACTGTTAGAGCGGAAGGCGTCTAATGCAAGGGTTGCTCAATTTATTATGCCACGACTCACGTAATACTCACCAAGGTACGTATAAATACCTAATAACTTTATTTATGTTTCGTAAAACGAAAAATAACTTGAAAACGTCTGGCAAATCTCAATCAAATATTCCGCGCGCTATTTGATTTTAAACACGCCTTTATTAGCTTGGTAGGTGGCTGTTTGTTTGTTTGTACGTCATTTTCACAGAATTCAAAACGTCCGATCATCTTGACTATTCGCATACATGCCGAGAACCAATGACGATACAATAACTTCATTCTTATGGAGTCGTGGGATGACCGGGTTGTGGCGCGTAGATATATTTTAGAGTAAAACGACATGAGCTCAGTGTGACTTGTTTAATGGCGGATGCACAGACTGGCAGTGTTGCCCATATAATCACATTCTTCACCTAACATCTCCCCTTTTAAGTTAAAAACAACACTTATTCTGATTTCTGGTGCAGCAAAATCTTTGATCAGTATAGACAGGTTCAAAAAAAAATTGATTTGCTATTTGAGCATGTTTGTTTTAAAATCACTAGCGCGATTTAAAATCGCGTTAACATAAACGTTAGCAATCAGCACTATATACCGCTTTATTTTAGGATTACTTTTAATACACACACACACACATATATATATTTTTGGAAGGCTTTAGAAGAAGAAATTGATGGATTGCGTGAAAGACGTTATTGTACGGGGAGAGTGAGCAAATAAATGGTATATGATAGAGGAGCATGGAAGAATAAGACATATTGCACCGACCCCAGGTAACTGGGAGAAGGACAGGAGAAAGATGATGTATATCTTTTGCAATTACACAATTGAATCTTACTTGGCTTACTACGATCGGAAACCTTTCCTTGTCCGGTCTGAACTTGACTAGATTGTCGAGGCACCTTTTAACTGTGACCCGGTCGCAAGCGATCACAAGCACCGGTAGTATTGTTGGACCATCTGGAACAAGTCGAAATATGTTTAAACTCCATCTGATAGCATCAGCCCAAACTTTCTCTTGGGAATCGTAAAGCCGGATTCACTGGAGAACGGCAAGCTATCTCCGTAATAACCCAAGATACTGCGACCGACCTTTATTTTTGATAGGACATATAGACACTGCACGCGTTTTTACTAGTGGTAGGACATATTTTGAGTCCGCACGGGTAGGTACCACCACCCCACCTACTTCTGCCGTGAAGCACTATCCTGAGACCTTAGAACTCAGATCTCAAGGTGGGTGGCGGTATTTACGTTGCAGATGTCTATGGGCTCTGGTAACCTCTTAATATAAGGTGGGCCGTGAGCTCGTCCACCCATCTAAGCAATAAAATTAGTAAAAAAATCGCGTGGTCACATCCTGTCTATGTCGCGTAGTAGGCATGCGTTCCAGTTTGAAGTACAGCCGATATGCAACCCAATTGAGACCTTATGTCTCATCGGCTTTTGTAACTATTTGAAACCAAATAGACAAGTTGAGGAAGGGCGGTTTTCAAATGGACGTATTTCATGTACACACATATACTTATTTAGCAATAATCACAGTTAATTGTGCTCGGTATTCGCTAATTTATCAAATTAACTTCGACCTTATGTCGATGGTATCTAAGGGGCGTAACAGACATTAAGAACCAGACGAATCGACCCACAAAGATAAATGAACAGAGAATGCGATGAAAATACGGTGACAAGGTTATCAAAGCACATTGATAACAAAAGCAAATGGTAACGTTTTATTGGTAAACGCGACACAAACGGTAATCTGATCCGGGAGCAGATGTGAAATGTAACGAACATTAAAACGTTAGGCGGTTACGAGTCCGCCCGTGATCATATTACGTTTTCAAACTGAACCACAATGTGTTTTTGTTAGGCACGTTATTGTTTAACGGGTCCTTACCGTGATTTTCGGGTTTAATGTCTATTTCAATTGTTACTTATTTAAAAAACAAAGAAAAAGCCCGCTGAGTTTGTTTCGCCGGTTCTTCTCAGGACTGTGGCTTTTTTTGGAACCGGTTGTAGAGTTAACTTTGTTATTTATATTTTGACATTCAACAAGTGTGTTATACTGACATCTAAGTTGAAATAAATGATTTTGAATTTGAATTTGAATCAAAAACGGACTAGAAAGAGGGTAGATAGATTTTTCAGGTCCTAAAATCCTACCCGCAGTATTTAGTCGGTCCGTTATTATGGCACTTGCGACATATCGAAATATCGGAACCTTGCAAAACTGATTAAATGTCTTTATCGTGATAAAGGAACCCAAAGGGTTAAATAATAGTGTGAACAATACAGATAGCCGTAAACGCTCAGAACAATTCGTGTCTTTGTTACTTAGGCCACCTCGTTCAAATCCTGACGGAATCCGCCTACGCATCAAACATATCCTAGGAGAATTCGTTTTATAGTCTATTACTATTAATTTAAAGGATAGCAAAATCATTGCTTCTCATTGCATCATTGCATCTCGATCGAAGAGTAGATGTGGTCTAAAGGATAAGACGCTAGGTCTACTCAAGTGATGTGACATTAGCGATGTTTAAATCCCAGAGACCGGTACAATTTTTCCTAATAAAACACGTACTAAAAATATGAAACGTTCAAAAAAATTATATTTTCATAGCCATTGAGACATAGAGCCTCAAAGTCACTGGTGACATTCAAAATGTCTATGGAATGAGTAACAATGGGTAAAAGAAAACATGTTTGTATTAACTGTATTATTTACGTCAATCAATAATAAACTTACGTAGCTTAACTTAACACATGTTAAATATTATTAGCTTATTGTGGTTCATATGTACACAGGTGTTTTCTATGCAATCATTGTAATTTAATACATCTATTGTATGTAGTAATGATGCATAGAAATTCTGTATACTAGGATGGTAGTGACGCAAAAGGAAATATCATCACAATTTCGACTACGTTTTCATAGATTTACAGGGCATGGAATAGAATTAGGTTTTTTTCTGCATATTCACAAAAGGCCTAGCCCATATGGTGTTAAGTGGTAATGTAGCATATAAATATCACACCACACCTGCAGTCAATTATGATTTAACATATACCGTCCGTTCCAAGCGATGACAATAAGTATGAAATTCATCAGTTTATGTAATATTGACAATTATATTTCTTTAAAATAGATGTTTAGAATTTTTTTAGTTGAAACTTTTACTATAGTGATAAGCTATAAGTTGTGGATATACACTCAAAAATTATACTATCCGAGTATATGGAACCGTACAAAGATATACCTATGACAACTAGCAAAACTATAATAATATAATAAAAGCATTAAGTACAAGAGAATAGCAAATTACATATTACAAGCAGTTAAAAGTATATGATGCCTGCAAAATAGAATGACTAAATTCACCATTGGATGCAGAGTGTGTGACTTCAACCGTGCAACCCAAATTCAAATTACAATTTTCGGATTTCAATGAAAATATGTTAAAATTTAATCACTATGATTTATAAATATACATATAATTAACTTACCAATAATTTCATCAGAGTACTGAATTAAAGACTCCTTTGATTGCGTTTTTTTTTTCAATTCATTTTTCACTTTCTGCAACAGTGTTTTGCTTTCCAGCATTTGGTCATCAATTTTCTTCTGAAGTCTGCCTAATTTGTTTTCTACGTCGGCTGCTGTGTCCTTAGAGGTTATAGACCTCGGCAACTCGATAATCGACGAGTAAGAGACGATGAACCACAACAATAAAACACCGCAACTAACAAACAATAGTTTTCTTACATTCAGGCGCATTTTTTTATATATGTGTGGTTTATTCGGTACAAGAATATTCTATTGTGTCAATAATGGAATATCATATTTACTGGCTACAAAACGTTTATTCAACTTTAATGAATGTAGTACACAGGAAATCCTAATTGTTTTTCAACCAACAGGGCAAGTTTAAATGAAAATTAATCTATTTTTAAATGTAAATAGTATATTATGAAAATTTTTAGTCATAAGATCCGTTTGGGAAGCTGAATTCTTAACTTTATTCTAATTTAAAATTCGTAAATTTGTATTTTATAAATTAAGTTACGCTATCACAACAAACATCTGTGGCTTATGCCTGATGGACACGTCAAATATCATCTTTCGTCGAAGCCGTCAACAAACCAAAATAAATTACATTGACATTTGACAGTTGTAGTTTTTTTTAAATTATTTTGTGGACAGGATTCTAGCCTTTTGGCCAAATCCTAACTTAATTTTGCATATCCATTTGTAAATTGGATTGGAGCGAAATTATTTGAAGTTGATTTATAAACAATAATATTTAACGAGTCTTATCACATTTTTTTCATTTTAATATACTATTTCACATAAGTTGCAAACGCCATGATCTCGGAGAGACGAGTCACGAAAATATTAGTACTAGGTGACATTGGAAAATCCACGGGGATTTTTTGGCAGGAAGACGATAGCAACCATGTGGAAATTATTTTATTTTGTTATTTTTGTGTTTTTCAGGCTTAACGTGTAACAAATGGGATTTCTTAACGGCGTTGCGCATCTGTGAAAGGTCACTAATGTGGAAAAATTTATCAAAGTCGCAAGTCATGGCTTCTCGTATTTTCATAAAGTCTCAGTAAATAGCTTCCATTTTATTTGATTTCTTTCGTTTTAGAATTATTCCAATTGGTTATAATAACAAACAAATGAATTAACTGACGTTATGAGCAGATAAATCTGTCTACTTTCTTTCTTGTACACATTTGGGCAGTTTTAGTAGAGCTATAGCAGCCATAATCATAGTAAAACGCTTAAAAATGTATTTATTTTTGAAGGTATATTAACCAATATTTATTATGATCCATTCAATAAAATTTATACAGGGTCTTAATTATTATGGACTAGCTGACCCGGCAGACTTCGTAGTGCCTCAATCGATAAATAAAAGACAAACTTTTGCATAAAATAAACTTAAAACAAACAAACAAAATTCGTCCGACGGACATATCAAAGGAAAAACAAAATTGTATTTTTTTTAATTCCGAACATTTTCATGAATATTACCTTTCAAACCTTCTCTGGACTTCCACAAATAATTCAAGACCAAATTTAGCCTAATCGGTCCAGCCTTTCTCGAGTTTTAGCGAAACTAACGAACAGCAATTCATTTTTATATATATAGATAGATAGATTAATACAAACTTAAGCCTTTTAAAGAAATAGTTTTTTCATTGATTACGTAGATGTGTGATTCAGAGCTGCTACGTGTCCTAATTTGGGAGGTAGGCAGAGATGGGATTGGTTTGTTATTCCGTAGTGGGATGACCAACCTCATGACCCATCTTAAGTCGTCCCATCCCAATCCCAATCCCATTTTAAGTCGTCGTGGCCTAAAGGATAATACATCCGGTGCATTCGTATCGAGCGATGCACTGGTGTTCGAATCTCGCTGGCGGGTACCAATTTTTCTAATGAAATACGTACTCAACAAATGTTCACGATTGACTTCCACGGTGAAGGAATAACATCGTGCAATAAAAATCATACCCGCAAAATTATAATTTGCGTAATTACTGGTGGTAGGACCTCTTGTGAGTCCGCACGGGTAGGTACCACCGCCCCGCCTATTTTTGCCGTGAAGCAGTAATGCGTTTCGGTTTGAAGGGTGGGGCAGCCGTTGTAACTATACTGAGACCTTGGAACTTATATCTTAAGGTGTGTGGCGCATTTACGTTGTAGATGTCTATGGGTTCCAGTAACCACTTAACACCAGGTGGGCTGTGAGCTCGTCCACACATCTAGGCAATAAAAAAAAAAAAAAAAAGAACTGTTATTGGCGATGCCCGCAGTCATCGCAGCGAAAGTGCAGCGTATTAAGCGGTAGGCAGCGGCTTGGCTCTGCCCCTGGCATTGCTAAAGTCCATGGGTGACGGGACACACCATCAGGTGACTCACCATCAGGTGGGCCGCATGCTCGTCTGCCTACAAGGGCAATAAAAAAAAATGTAATCAATCAAAATTAAACCAATTTAATTTCACTGCGGTTGACTTTTCACGAAACAAACTAATAGGTCGGGGAAAAGTTTCTTCGCATTTTTCAAGAAAATTCACAACATTTTTTAATGTAGTTTATTTACATTTAACTAAAGTATGTAGGTACCATTTTGTTCGATAACTTTTTGCCATCTTGTAGGTAGGGACATGATACCATTGTTATAGAAATTTTGGGGCTTTTGATCAAAATACCGCGACAATTGGTTTTGGCAGTCCTCTCGTGATGTTAACCTGACGCTTCCTAAAGAATTCTAAAGAGACCGAACCAGGTGGAAATCTGAAGGTGTAAGGTCAGGGCTATATGGTGGATGCATTAGCACCTCCCAGCCAAGCTCTCTTAATTTTTGCTGAATGGCTAAAGATGTGTGAGGTCTAGCATTATCATGATGAAAAACCACACCCCTTCTGTTGTTTAATTCCGTTTTCTCTCAACTTCTTGCTTTAATCTTATCAGTTGTTCGCAGTAGAGTTCAGAATCGACGGTCTTGCCTGGTGGTAACAGCTCATAATGAATAATGCCCTTCCAATCCCACCACACACACACACAGAATTACCTTGTTGCGAGTTAACCCGGGTTTCACCACTGTCTGTGAAGCCTGACCGGCCTTTGACCACGACCTTTTTCGCACGTTCTTGTCGTACGTGATCCACTTTTCATCACCAGTAATCAGCTTCTTCAAAAATGGTTCGGTTTCATTACGTCGTAATAAAGAATTACAAATGAGTACATGGTTCATTAGGTTTCTTTCAGTGAGCTCGTAAGGTACCCAAATATCGAGTTTTTTGTGTACCCACTTTTTGTCAAATGCGCCAAAACTGTTTTGTAGTTAATTCCCAGTTCTTCAGCTACGTCGTAACTACTGATATGCCGACCTTGCTCCACTTTTAAAAAAATGGCATCAATTTTATCCGAAACAGGACGACCAGAGCGACATGCATCTTTGACATCCAAATTTTCGAATTGAAAACGGATTTAAACCAAATTTGTGCTACTCTTACAGACACTGCACTAGGTCCATAAACATCGCAAATTTTTTTTGGCGGCTTGCGTTGTATTTTTACCTTTTTTGTAGTAAAATTTTAAAATGTATCGAATTTCTTCATTAGATTCACTCATCTTGACAGTACGAAAAATAATAAAAATCACACATTTTCCTAATTTGAATTTGAAGTTATCTTCTTTAAAATTTAAACTTTTAATGATACCAAAACCAGCCACATACAAATAGTATAGCCAAAGAGATTATATTACAAGTTCATACATACTATAGGTTTTGAAGTCGTCGTGGCCTAAGCGATAAGACGTCCGGTGCATTCGTGTTGAGCGATGCACCGATGTTCGAATCTCAGGCGGGTACCAATTTTTCTAATGAAATACGTACTCAACAAATGTTCATGATTGACTTCCACGGTGAAGGAATAACATCGTGTAATAAAAATCAAACCCGCAAAATTATAATTTGCGTAATTACTGGTGGTAGGACCTCTTGTGAGTCCGCGCGGGTAGGTACCACCACCCTGCCTATTTCTGCCGTGAAGCAGTAATGCGTTTCGGTTTGAAGGGTGGGGAAGCCGTCGTACTATATTGAGATCTTAGAATTCGTATCTCAAGGTAGGTGGCGGCATTTACGTTATAGATATCCATGGGTTCCGGTAACCACTTAACATCATGTGGGCCGTGAGCTCATCCACCCACCAGAAATAGGTATGAAATACTAACCGGCGTTAGCTCAAACGACATTTTGCCATTTTTAAAAATGTTGATAATTGATTGTCGGTGGGGTGAAGGAACTTAGCGAAGTTGAATAATTATGTGTATTTATTATCTATGGTTGAACAGGAAAATATGGTAAAGTTGAGACTATACAAAAGGCCAGATTGTGGAAAAACAACAGCTAGTTATAACACAGCAATAGCTTGGCGATACTAGCAACACGTCAATAAAATCGAGCAATAAAAAGAAAATATAATTCAGTCGAATAAAATACCGATTTATGGCGCGTTTTTTTAAGCAAATTCGAATTCAAAGAAATACTTTTCGAATATTTCAATATTGATGCAAGTTCCACAAAACATCGTAACGTGCAAAAACATAACGTGTCAAATATTAAAACCCGGAACCTAAAGCAATTATGATTCCGCGGTAACAAAAACTGAAAGAATTTACGAAATTTTCCCTAATGGCGCCATTTACATTCACATAAACATTGTAGGGTGAATTATAGTTTTAGAACGAATGCAAAAATGTTGTTTTTGAATGTATCTCTATTTTTTCAATTCAACATAAGCTGCATAATAATATAGATAATCGACTCTTGAAAGGCAAACGTGACTAAGCGACAATGCGTGAACTTTACAGTAGACTAATTTAAAGTTGAAATACCTCAAAAAAATCTATTTTAACGAATGTAGCTGTAGGATTGAAATGAGTTTAATGGACCTAGAAATATATTTTTTTGCGCATTGAATATGGTTATTGCCTATAATTTATGTATAAAGCAGTTATTGTCGCTTATATAGTCACGTTTGCCTTTCCAGCGTCGAATTATGTATTACTACGATAATGTAATGATAATTCTGAATCTTAGTGAAATTAATAGATGTTCATGTGTTTTTTCAGTCCAGTATTTTCTTAGATTGTTGCGTGTCGTAAAATATTGTTACGCCGGTAAGAGTAATGCCATCTATCGCCGAATAGTCGAACGAATATCGAAAGATCTAGTAGTATCTGGAACGCTCGGGAAGTACAACGCCATCTATTGTCAGATAACGGAAACACACAATACTAGACTTTTGTGAAATATTCTCGACGATTCTAGGGATTTCGTCTCGTCTATAAAAGCGTTGCAGAGACGGCACGCAGTCAGTCAGTAATCGGAACTACTCGAAGCGAAACAGCGAACGGATCGCCTGAAGCGAAGCGGAAGAAGCGAATTGAGAATTTTAAAGTGTTCGTTAAGTGTTCTAAGTTTTAATACAGTTATAATTTGTACTTCGGTAGAATTTTTATTTATCCCGAACCCCAGCGCGTAAGCCCCGTGAGCTCACTCACCTACTAGTTAACGTTACGCTGAAATAGCTTCTCAAGACTATCAGCTTAGGTAGGATGAAAAAAAAAGCGCCTTCTCATTCATTTGTTACACAATAGTTATGACAGTATATAGTAGTAAAATATCTCTTTTAAATTAAGTGTATTAAATTAATTGTATATTATCTATGGCTCAAACATTTATCTAGACTCTAGAGTGTGGAGGATGAAGGTAAGGGTTACAATCTTGTATACGGGAGAAGTCCAAAAAGTGTCAACCTGTAAACAGCAAGCTATTGTTAGAAACTAACCGAAATAGTTCTAGTGTAGGAAGTGGAAATGATACGAATATAGCAGTCTTAAACAGAGTGAAGTGAGATAGTTTTTTTTTTAAAACTATAATATTACGTGTTTTAATTCAAAAAATATAACGCACCTTTACAATTGAAATGGCTTAATCCAGAATTCTTGTTTTTTTTTTGTAAACTCCAAAAAGTGTAATTGAAGAATTGAAATTTTTTAGTTTTTCAATTTTAATACTTTAAGGTATGCACTTGATTTAAAAGAGACCGAAAGCGTACTTTTCCTTTTTTTGACTAAAAGAGACTTTAATTTTTCATACCTAAATTGATGTACTAATACTGTTGACTTAGCTTCTAAAGCCAGGAAATAAATACACAGATTGCAATTAATAGTTCGCTTAATTCTGTATTGCTTTATCTGTACAATCTTTAGATATGTGCTCACTACAGAACACACCGCTTTTTCTGCGGTATTTTCAGACTACCTCCTTTTTTATAATGTCACGTATCCACTACTGCAATTTTTTTTTAAGGGATTTTATGACTTGGTAACTAAGACCTTTAAGTCACGTCTTATTTTAATTTACCTATATTCTTATTGTTATGAAAAATGATAATATGAAATGAAATGAAGATGATTAATTTGAGACGTTAATCAACTGGGATGAACTTAAATGAAATGAGATGAGATGATATAGGATGGAATATAATCTATGTAAAATGGTGGTTATTTACTGAGATTTTCTTAGTGGACTTTTTGGAGGATCCCGAGAAGTTACGTCCAGCGGTTTTGTTTCATTTTCCCACATTTGTGCACTTTCACAGATATTTAACAGTTAATAAACCACCATTATTACACATTTAAACCCGAAGAAACACCAAATAGACAAAATAAAACAAATCACACAACTTCACTCCTCGCGTTCCCGCCAAAAAGTCCACACACCGCTTTTTCTGCCGTATTTTCAGACTACCGCCTTTTTTATAATGTCACGTCTCCACTACTGCCATTGCTCAACAGTGTTGCTATTCGGCAACACGAAAATTGTTATAATTTTTAACATTTTAATTTTTCACTGGTGGTAGGACCTCTTGGGAGTCCGCACGGGTAGGTACCACCACCTCGCCTATTTCCGCCGTGAAGCAGTAATGCGTTTCGGTTCGAAGGGTGGGGTAGCCGTTGTAACTTTACTGAGACCTTAGAACTTATATCTCGAGGTGGGTGGCGCATTTACGTTGTAGATGTCTATGGGCTCCAGTAACCACTTAACATCAGGTGGGCTGTGAGCTCGTCCATCAATCTTAGCAATAAAAAAAAAAAGATAAATTTTATTTTACTTATTTTACAAAAAAAAATTCTACAACACCGTCATGTCTTGCCAATGCTGCAATATCAGTGATCGTCAGCAGCAGAAGATTGTTTGATTTGAATTTCACCTATACAGTATTTCGGAGAATAGATGCCCCAATATCTACCTACCAGGTCTAAGATCCCGCGGTGAGCTCAAGAAACGCTGGTTTGATGTGGTAAAGGCGGATATGGAAGAAAAGCCAAATAACCTTACCCAGAAGGATTCTGAGGTCGGGCAAAGTGGAGGATTTTATGTAGGAAAGTGGACCTTGACACTGGACCGGGAAAACGCTAGGAAGAACAAGAAGTAGAAGAAGAAATATTTCGGAGAGTTGTTTAATCTCTCTCGCTTACTGTGCTGATCTGCTGAGGACGTTGGCTTATTACACCGCTTTCCTCCCAAAACTAGGGGAGGGGGCTAATCAATCGACGCGCAACCTTTACGTAGGGATAGTCCGATCGATGACCCCGATTCGGTAACATCGATTTAAGTTTAATTTGAGTGCTCTGAGGAATTGTTCGAGATGATACCGGCATCTCGTTTTTACCATCGCACCGCCTGCCACCGGAGTAGAGTTCCTGGAGCCACTGCGGTCATCCACAGTGCGTTTCCAGAGATCTTTTTTGCCACGTACCATCCGGCTATGGAATGAGCTCCCCTCCACGGTGTTTCCCGAGCGCTATGACATGTCCTTCTTCAAACGAGGCTTGTGGAGAGTATTAAGTGGTAGGCAGCGGCTTGGCTCTGCCCCTGGCATTGCTGAAATCCATGGGCGACGGTAAGCACTCACCATCAGGTGGGTCGTATGCTCGTCTGCCTACAAGGGCAATAAAAAAAAAACGTAGGGATGGTCCGATCGATGACCCCGATTCGGTAACCACTCATCTCCGAGCCGGTTCATCGATTTAAGTTTAATAAGACAACAAAAAAATTCAAACGTGTAAGTTCGCACACGCAACCAATAAAGCCCTCACAAAGCAGTCCAGTTGCGCATGCAAAGCAAAATGGAGACTCGACGATGTTTTGATATTGTTTCAGGGTCCCACGAATATTTAAATAACTGCACGCTCTATTTAATCACATTTGATTTTTTTTAATTGCTCCCATGGCTGAATGTAGGTACCTAACTGGCTGAATGTACCTAGTGCTAAGTGGTTACAGGAACCTATAAAAGAAAGGTGGAAAAGCTCACGGCACTCAGCCTAAAAGGGTATGAAACAGCAACTGAGTTAGCGAGAGCAGTGCTCCATTGCATCTACTACGGCATCCAAACTCAGTGGGTCACCGCAGCACACCAACAACAATGCCGCCACCTAAAGTTTGAGTGACAGTTCTACAGGGTGATAAAAAACTACCCGTAATGCGCCACCCACCTTGAGATATGAGTTCTAAGGTCTCAGTATAGTTACAACGGCTGCCTCGCCCTTCAAACCGAAACGTATTAATTGCTTCACGGCAAAAATAGACAGTGTGGTGGTACCTACCCGTGCGGACTCTCAAGAGGTCCTACCACCAGTTCTTCTTCCTCAGGTCTTGCCTGTTACCAGCAGCTTTTCTAAATTGTGATATCTATGAACTAAACTTCTTTTGCCAATTTAAAGCAAAGAAAAAAAAAATACGCTACAGAACCACATTCTTTAAATTTCATAATTGTCAAATGAACAGCCTAAGATAATTTAAAATTAAAAAGAAGAAAAAAAAAAACCAGAACATAGCGCCACCGCGCCTAATTATGACAAAATATGTCGGTTACAACGAAAAGCGACGTGAGCCGTTTTTTTTTTTTTTTTGGCCCCGATAATTTATTGCTTAAGTTATTAGAATCATTCGTTTAAATTTAATAAATATTAATGACGTATTTGACAAATATTGAAATATGTAATGCGGACAATACATAGACCTATATTAGTACAATATGGCTCGATGTGAAATGTCATTGAATGAATACAAAAAAAAGAACAAGATTTAAGTACACTAGGTTATTTAAACAATGGTTTAAATTTTAAATTTTTTAATCTCTTAATCCATATTTAAACGTTCAATAAGTTGTTCAAGGAATGTAACCTTTTTTTAAATAGTAAAGAATTGCATTTATTTTTGTATAAAAAAAAAATCAGTTGCCAAAATCATTAATTATAAACTTTGTAGGTATAGATCTACCGTAAATCCCTACGTACCAATATATTTTTCTTCATTGTCTAATAAAATGCTTACGATATCTTTTTTCATAGATCTTAATGCTTAATTTCAATAATAGTAAATTGCGACATACTTGACGTATCTTTTCAGAATTTCTCAAGAGGAAAACAATTGGCACATCTACAGGAGACGACTTTTAAGGATAAGTCTATTAAACAATGATACCCGATTGTTTTTCTTTGTTAATTGTTTTTTGGTGTACCATAAACTAGGTATAGGTACTCTCTTTCTCTCTCTCTATCTCTGTCTCTACAAACGTATTAATTAATCAACAAATAGCGTCGCACACATCTTTGACTGTTCGTGAACACGTGACGCTTCCAATTAAGAAGACAAACTAAATTATTATCTCGATTAATGAGGACGAACATTTGTCAGGAGCGCTCAAGAACCGAAAGTCGGGTTCGAAGCAAGCGCATCCGCCGCGTCCCAGACCCGCCCACATATCTCTCATTGGTTTAAGACTAATTATATTTTCGGTACGAAATCATCGGGAGCTATTTGCATCGTTTAACGCGTCACGAATGATTCCCGACCTTATTACACATAGTTTGAGGGTGCGTTTTGGGTTAAACGTTAAACAAAATGAATTTTAGTTCGTCTATACGCCCATTCGTTTGCGCTTTTCATCTTCATTGCGTTCGTTCAGAACGCGCCTGACAGTCCTGTTGTGTGGTGATACGCGATTTTCAATCTTACAGCAAGCAATCCGTGGTGCGCGTAAGGAAACTCAGTTTATCGTGTGCAACAGTGTTACAATGATGTCCGCTGTCTCGTGAAAGCAACGAAAGATCAGCTTCATCAAAAGAATACGAGAAAAAGTGCAATTTTATTGGTTAGGTTCGTTCAGTTTTCGCGCCAAAAATGAATCTCGAAATTAGTACGAACGAAGAAAACGACGATGGGAAATTCGATAAAACCGACAATAACAGGCTACCATTCTCAATTGACAGTCTTCTAGCTAATAAGTTTCAAGGGAATGCGAACCGTGAAGGCTCTTACGAAAGTGTAGAGAATGCGCAAAATAAAGATGGCGGACACATTTTTAAAGTTAATATAGACTCTTTTGATGTTGATAATGATGATGACGACCGCAGCGACGGTAGCGAAGAGCACGTGGACGTCGAAAGCTCGACGGCTGACGAAGCCCACGAATATGTGGATGCTAGAAGCGATTTCCAACAAACAGGTAGGTTTGTAATTTTATATCTCTGTTTACTTAATACCGATTTATTATAATGGCGAGTACTGCGATCATATTGCTCTGAACATACCTGATAGCTTAGAACATTCGTGACAAGGAAGATCTAGGGAAAGGGACTGCGCGGGCGCAGCATGACAAGGTGGTTTGATCAAATCCGCACCACATTAGAAACTACTAGAAACTAGATGATCCCTCTCTCTCCTTTTTATCATCGCACCTCCTGCCTTCAGAGCAGAGTTCATCCATATTATCTGGAACCGCTGCGTTCATCGACAGTGCGTTTCCAGAGGTCTTTTTTGTCACGTACCATCCGGCCTTGGAATGAATTCCCCTCCACGGTGTTTCCCGAGCGCTGTGACATGTCCTTCTTGAAACGAGGCTTGTGGAGAGTATTAAGCGATAGGCAGCGGCTTGGCTCTGCCTTTGGCATTGCTGAAGTCCATGGGCGACGGTAACCATTCACCATCAGGTGGGGCGTATGCTCGTCTGCCTACAAGGGCAATAAAAAAAAACCCATTCCACCAAGCCCTTCGTGCTGCTAATAATTGGAAACGCTGGAAATAAATAACATAAAAAATAAAATCCTGTCTAAACATGATGATCACGACCCTTCGCAAGGAGACGATACAAGGAGGAGGAGATTTAATATCGACCAAAAACCTATGTATTGTTCCTTCAAATTATCCACAGCGCTGAAAGCTCCCCAATCTGCTACCAGATTCAGAGATAAATTGATCACAACCTACATAATCTGTGGTCAAGTTTAATTAAAAAATTAAATTTCTATTTTAGGGCGCAAGTCAAACTCTGTTCCTGATTATTTAACAAAACTGCCAGCTACTATTGTTGTTGTTGTTTTTTTTGTATAGGTATTCTATTTTAGATTAAATTATTCATTCCCGTAACATTTACTACAAACATTAGTGGACACCTTATAACTATAACTTACGAGCGACCGGATACATCATCATCAGCCTTTATCTGCCCACTGCTGGACATAAGACCAGGTGTTTCTAATTAAATGCCCACCCTTAGCACGGCTATAAGGCCAGAAATAGGTCTTCTTTTTTTTCCTCCACCTTATCCCAGTAGGTGGGCTCAGCACAGCTAAATTTTCTCTTCCATTCTCTTCTATCAGCCGTCATCTCAACACTCACTCCTCATTCTCTCTCATATCGTCATTCACACACTCCATCCATGTCTTCTTTGGTCGACCTCTTTCCCCTCTACCTTGCACTACCATTTCCATACATCTCCAAGTCACATGCAGACTCATCAATGGCTAAAGTAACTATTCACGAATAATCTGATATAAAAAATACTAGAAAAGGAATTTTTCATTACGAGATGCTTAAAAATCTGTTTTAAGGTAGAGATATTACGATGTTTGGGAAAGTTTTGTAAAACTGTAATTCCCTAAGATTTTGCTGAATATACCTAGTCAGGTCATAAATTCTGTCACATGTTTAATGTAAAATAATTGAAACAAGTTTATTCATTATGTAACCATTCATATACCAAAATGAACTTAACAAAACATAGATTCTTATGACACTAAAGTTTATTCAAAATGAGCTCCGTGATTTTGAATACAGGCCTTCAATCTGCGCGGCCAGTCGTCTATCGCAGCACGAACGAGGTCCATGTCAATATCGGCGGCTGCCTTAATCAAGGATGTCTTGAGTGACTCCAAATTGGGATGAGGCTTTGAGCACGCCTTTTCCTCCAAGTGTTGCCATATCTTGTAATCTAACGGATTCAAATCTGGACTGGAGGAGGGCCAGTCTTCGTGCCGGATGAAGTCGATTTCACGCGCCGCCAGCCAGTCTTGTGTGCTCTTCGCTCTATGAGCTGGCGCCGAATCTTGTTGGAATACCCAGTGCCTGTTATTGAACATGGTATGAGAAACAGGTTCCACAAGGTTCGTCAGGACTGTATTTTGATACACAACTGCATTCGTTTTTACACCTTTCTCACAAAAATGTACCTCTGTTAAGCCCCAATAAGAAACTCCCAACCATACCATGAGCGAGGATGGAAAATGACCTCGTTGGACACGCGGAATACGGTTGCTCGCTTCTTCACTACTGTGTGCGTACACCTTATCATTTTGTTTGTTGTAGCTCTCTTCTACGGTAAAAATTTTTTCATCCGAAAAAAGAATTTCCCGATATTTTTTTCCCGCGTACCGCTTCAACAAAGCGCGGCATCTCTTCAGTCTCAGGTCCATTAGACGAGCATTCAAACGATGTCCTGTTTTTCTTCGATATGCCCGAAGCCCTAAGTCTTCATTTAACACCCTTTTCACCGTGGTTCTGCTTAACCCCATCTGAAGGGCCAACAGTTTCTGCTTACGTTTGGGATTTCTTTGAATTCGCGCCTTCACAGCTTTTATCACTGCTGGAGTCCTAACAGACCGAGGGCGACCACTTCTTGACCTGTCATCTACACTAGAGTCTTCATTGTATCGTTTGATGGTACGATAAACGAATCTTTTAGTTATATTCAAATTTTTCAGTATGTTAAAAATTTTAATTGGCGCGTAACCGCAACGATGCAACGCAATAACTGCAACACGGTCTTCTTTAAGCGTCCACTCCATATTTGTGTAATGAGTAAAATTCTAAAAGTATACATTTTTATTTTCATGAACAATTCGAAATTCGAATTCAATAAACTTTTTTGTGGCCAGCATTCTAAAAGAAAAGTTTTTAATGTGTGACAATACTTATGACCTGACTAGGTATATTGTGTTGTTTTGATAGGTATTGACCCAAGCTGTCACCCCCCGCAGTATTTCGTGCGATTTAATGGACACCCTGTATATGTAGTATACATCATGTTTTTTCATTCGGTAAGCACACCGCGGTTAATTTATTTCCTTAGTTGATTCATGTCCACTTGATGATTCTCTGGAAGAGATACTCTCAGCTGTTAATCATTCATATATTGGACGTTTTTCATTTGCATTGATTTTATATTAGCCGTACTCGCCCGTTTCGCTGGGCATTTAAAATGAACATTATTATTTATTGTCATTATTATTAGGGAGTCCAACACTCATATAAATATTAGCCTATCCATTAAATACATGTATTTTCTACATGGATACCAAGCTTCAAGTTAGTCGGATGCATGGTTCATTAAGTACTTGTAACGGAACACCCGTGTAAAAACCACTGTAGATTTATATATTAGTATTAGTAATATATTAATACGTGAAGCAAAAACTTTGTATCCCTTTTTACGAAAATTGCGCGGACGGATGAGTATGAAATTTTCCATACTTATAGAGAATACAGAGAAGAAGTGCACAAAGCTAATTTTTTTTTAAATAATGCATAAAATATACATTAAATCAATAAAGAAAACATTACACAACTACATACCATTTATTTGACGCACACACGCATGCATACCTACTATTTATTGTCAAACTTTTGTTCTTGACGTCTGTTGTCAAATTGAGAATAGATTAAATATTGTTTGTCTTTGTTAATATTTTTTATAGTGTAGTCTTGGCAAAATTTGTGATTATAGAAGTATAAAATACAATCATAATAGTGTACAAACTTACAATACCAATTAATTATAGTCGAATTTCGACTACCGCGGGACCTCTAGTTAGTATAGATTAGTCTGCCACAAAGCACACTAATCTATACATAATGAAAGCTACTTTTACGGCTTAAGCCTCGCGTTTGTTACTGTCATTAGATTGTTTCCAAAATTTCGAATACTTTAAAGTTTCAATGGTCGATTAGTTTTAGCTATATTTAAAACTCACGAAAACTGTGCAAAACGAAAAGCAATCACTTAGGAGAAGACGGTAGAAGACCGGACGAAAGAAGACTGAAAGAATTTTAACGTTCTGTTGTCTATCTCTAATAATTTGGGGCAATCATTGTGCTTCACAGCACTTTATTAAAATCCCCTCCCTTTTTTTTTATAACGTAACCCGAAAACTTCAAACGTCAATAAGGACCAGCAAGGGATTACACCCTCGGAACTACATGAGGTTTCCTTCTTCGATAATAAGGCCGTATGTAGACAACTACCAGATACCAGCCGCTCCGCCCGTGTGGTTAGAGAATCCTTTTATCGCTATAAGCACTGCGCAATTCGTAAGCATTATGTACACTTATGGCATCTCTGAAGATATCTTGTAAACTATAGGTCTGTGGGGACCCAAGACGCGCCGATTTGGACGCAAATCAGAGTCTATCTTTAAAGCGGTGGTAGGACGTCTTGTGAGTCCGCACTTGTTACTACCACCCTGATTATTTGTGCCGTGAAGCAGTAATGCGTTTCGGTTTGAAGGGCGGGGCAACGGATGTACTGTAAAAACGGAGACTTGGAACTCCGTTCTCAAGATGGGGTGGTTGATAGACGAACTACAGTGACCACTTAACCCCAGATGGACTGCAAAATCGTTCACTCATCAGAGAAAAGGTTAACTGACGAAAACTCGTAATTTTTCGAAGGTTGATGGGATGTTTTAGAGTCCTGCCCACCAAACGATAACCCTTGCACTCTCTCACCCGACGTCCGATCTCTGCCCGGGCTTAGACCTTAGTAGGGGGGGTTTCCAAGGTCAACACTGTTCTACCACACCCAGCATACAGAATAGAATAAGCCGATCCCAAAGCTGCCCGCAGGCGTATAGGCTGTACCTAAGTGTTGAGATAAAACAATAGGCTTGGCTACCGTTTGAGCTTATTCGATCGCGACGGGGCAACGAAACGCCGCCGTCGCCCGAACCATGTCTTGTCGGATCCCCGGATTCACCCTCGGTGCTTTTAGGGATGTCAAGCACCCGTCACCGTCCTCGTCGAACTCATCGATGACAACGAAGAGTTCTCAACGAACTCATGAAAAGGCAAAGGGGGGAAAGTAAAACGTTTAGTGCGGAGCACATCTCTCCCATCACCCTCCCCCTCGGGACGCCGGACCGGCGGTCGTCGGCGCCACGACCACCAGCCCTC